TAGCCTCTAGAGTGTCCTTAAGATTTTTCACAGTGATCAAGGGCCATAACTCTGGCAGTAATTATAGGAAATCACTGAAAATCAATAGGCTTCTTCATCTCATGATCTCAAACACTGTATAAATTTGAAGTCTATCAGATATTAACTTTAGTCTTTAGAGCATCCACAATATTTTTCAAAGTGATCAGAAATCACTGAAATACAATAGGAGAGAGAGAGAAATGGGGTTTAACGTCCACTCTACACTAACTAGGTCATTTCGGGACTAACATATGGTTTAATTTTATTTCAATAATTCGTTGCGCATAGGGGTCTTTAGAAGTGAGAGGACCCAGAGAAAACCCACGAGGTTGGACAGGCAACCCTACTCCTTGTCACGTACAACCGGGGATTCGAAACCACGCCAGTTGACTCAATGACAGGCTTTATGATACAGCGCACACGTGCTAACCATTCTGCCATCCAACCCCCCTGAAAATCAATAGGATTCTTCGTCTCATGACCTTAAACACAGTATAAATTTAAAGTCAATCGGATATTATCTCTGGCCTCTAGAGCGTCCACAAGACTTTTCAAAGTGATAAAGGGCCATAACTCTGGCATTAAATATCAAAAATCGCTGAAAATCAATAGGCTTCTTCGTCTCATGACCTTAAACAAACACTATCAAATTTAAAGTCAATCAGATATTAACTTTAGCCTCTAGAGCGTCCACAAGCAATAGTACACGCCGGACGGACGGGATTGACGACAATATATGACCACATTTCAATGTGGCCGTATAAAAAGACTGACAACATGTATAGCACACCCCTGCTTACAAATTTGCTGGGAAAAAGACCTTGCGTTTCCAGTTGTATTCAACATGCAGTATTCAAAATTACAATAAATATATATTTTACCAGATAATCCAGGTGATTTTTGTTTTGGTGTTCTTCTATTCATCTCTATCATTGGACTCCTCTCTAAGATCTTTACCCTTGTATAAAACAGATATAATTTATATTTGTAAAGAAATGAGGATACATTAAAGTGTTTGTATTACAATATTTCCATTATAATGCTATTACTGTTTCATACGTAAGACATCAAAAACTTAGCAGACTATTTTGCTCTCACTCAGTTTTAAGACTTATAGTCCCCTCTGTACTTATAAGTATTATTATAACAGTAAACTGAACTTAAATGCTAGAATTCAGGCTCAACATTTTGTTTTAACCACCAACTCTCTAGCAAATAACATACGAAAGGAAATTCAGTTGCTGCAATAATAGATCAGAAAAAAATTCTAACATTTAGAGTGTTCCTACCATTCTTCAGGACTGCGTGCCTTGGCAGGCATCGAAGAAGCAACAGTTTTTCGACGGGTTCTTCTCTGAGCTGACATTGGAGCACCAGGGGTCCGGAAACTGTCATCCTTACATACAACCTTACTAGCACTTTGAGTCCAGCCATCTGTGTTAGTTAGGCTGTCCACCTCAGCCACTTTATCAGTTAGATTTATCATTTCACCATTTAGTGCAATTTCATTGTCTGGGGCTGATTGTGAACTTAACTGTGACTCTTTTTCTGTTTTATGATCTACACTCTCTGACAAAGATGCAACTTGAAATGACCCTGTTCTGTTAGCACTACCATTTTCAGTGACTGACAGAACAATGTCTTCTTTTATATCAATGTCAGAAGAATTTTTTGTTTCTTGAGCCTTTGCGAAAACAGTATCTTCTAATCTATCCACAGACAGGCTCAGAACTGTTGCAGACAGTACTTTTGTCATAGATTCATCACTTGACGTACTGGGATGATCAGAATGTACCCCAGATGAATCTTCGGAAATAGTGACCATCATTTCATCATGGTTTGCAGAACAGATAGATTTTCTTAATTTTCTAGATCTCGTTGACCTTTTGGTTTCATCTTCAGATGCAGAAGTTGACTGTTCAGTATCAGACTCGGTTTTTGTGGTGGACGTGTTACTACGCAGTGCACGACGTTTGCCTTTAGCCAGTGTAGGAGTATTTTCAGTTTCTGAAGTCACCAGAGAGTTGTTAATGTTAGCTTCAAATTTCTTTACTTGAGATTGTCTGTTTGATTTACGTATTTTAGGTTTCTCACTTTCTGAATCTGAAGACTTATCAAGGCTTTCTAATGTTTTTGCTTCCTCAGAAACAACCAGAGTTTTTTCTAGGATGGTGTTTTCATCAGATTCATCATCTGCAGATTTTTTACTTTCAACAACTGCTTCTCCAACAATAGCATTACTAGAATCACCCTCATTATTACCATATTCATTATTTTGTTTTCCTAAAACAAAAAATAGTAGCTTCTGTTACAGAATTGATAAAGCTAACAATTGATGGTAGTTTTACTATTGTTACAATTTGTCAATAATGAAAGGAACAAACTCTCTTTGAGCTAGGATGCAGGATGTAGTCTTGAATGACCTGTATAGCAATGAAATAGGTCTGGCACACGTGTCAGGCTTACTACAAAGAATATTATCGAGACTTATTTTGAATACATAAGTTACAAAACAACTTTCAAAAGTAAAATATGGATAAGTCTATACCAGCAGTTGCCAGGCAAGATATGCCCACATTTTGCAGGAGATGGATAGAGAATAAGCTAAAAGAAGAGATTTTTCGTACAATCAGGGACCATAATCCTGAAAATTAAGATCTGAAATACGCAAAAATCGAAATGGACTGAGATCTTTGGGATATAAAGATATATATTTTAAGTTACATGAAAATCTAATAAAAATTGTGACCTCTAGTGGGTCCACAAACTTCGTATTACATACTTTTATGTTAGTTTCATTTCGATTTTCCCAAAATTCGAATTCATCCTTCATTATGGTGGAATGGTGATATATTTAAACTTTTTTTAAAATCGATTAGGGAAACCCTTACATTTTTGTCCTATATGCGCTCCATGAGTGTTTTTCAGGGAATCCAGTATTTTTCTAGTAAGATTGGATATTTCTACTTTCGATAATACCAAAATTGCCATACTTTTATTGGAAATAACCAGCCGATAAATACTTTTCTGGGAACGTAGCTTTAAGAAGAGTAACAACTCATTAAGTAATTATCAGAAAATCATTAGAATTTGTTTGGCCCATGCTAACATTTAGTACCGGTATACAAAACACTTAATTTCATGGATTTAGCTGTTCAAGTTATCAAAAATCATTGAAAATTAATATACTTTGTATATCAAGCCAAAGTTCAAAGTGATAAAGGGCCATAACTCTGGCAGTGGCAGTAATTATCGGAAATCATTGAAAATCAATACACTTTTTTGTCTCACTGTGTATTAATTTAAAGTCTCTAGAGCATCCACAAGATTTTTCAATTTAAAATCAATCGGATATTAACTTCAGCCTCTAGAGCGTCCACAAGCAATTGTGGATGCTGGACCGACAGACGGACGGGGGCTGACAACAATATACAACCACATTTCAATGTGGGCGCATAAAAACCATTGTTATATCCAACGTTTCGTCAGTAAAATACTAACTTCTTCAGTGGTTAAGATGTTAGTATTTTTGCTGACGAAACGTTGGATATTGTTGTATATCAACTTATCTGAATATCAAATGGGCCGGTTAGTCAAAACTGATCCCATCAAACCATCTGTAATGGGTTTGTGTTAACTGTTTCTATTGATTGGGCGTATATAAACACAACTTATCGTAAAATCAGGGGCCGTAATCCAGGTAGTCACTTAACTACTAGATTTCACTTAAATATACGCAACTTCCTGTAAGTTAAGGGTAAGTGGTATTCAAAGGCAGTATCAAATTTTCCCTTAAAGTTAAGCTGGTATTCAAAGGCCAGTTTTAGTGAGAAAAATCCACCTATGGGAGGTACCTTAAGTTAAGTGGGATTATAATGACTTCTTTTAACCAGAGGACACAATGTAGAGGCCCATAATGGTGATTTTAAAAGTTAGGGAATTCAGATTAAAACAAAGACAATGTCGTCGAGCGTAGCTGTCATCAAACTTTTTATTTTTTTTATTGTTAGATTTGATTGTGTAGAGCCATAATAATGCGTTAAATTTATTTTGTAAATTTGACATTGCGATAACATTCCAGTGTAGATTTCAGCAAATATTAATACGGCCGCGAGAAGCAAGGCATGGTTTATTTTTTACAATTCATTCCCATATACATATTTGAAGTCTTGATTGCTACATTTTCTTGTCTTCGTTTGTATAAATTTAGAAATATATGATGATGTCTGCTGACCGAAGCGTACCACCAATGATTTACAATTAATTTCTTGTGTTACCTATTGTTTTTAATCAGTAGTATTTATTCGGGTAGAAAAAAAAGCAAAACATGTATCTTTAGTACACACAATGTACCGTCATGGCAAGGCCTTTGGGATTCTATTTCTAATGTGTAGGAACTGACACTATTTCTATGAATTTCTTAACTGACAGATTGATAAACACCGAATGATTTGTTCAGTTTAACTTTAAAGCCAATAGCCCTGTGTCTTGCAAATATGTTGTTTTCTATTCGTTATATATTGTTAAAATGATAAAGTTTACAATATCCATCATTATACTACCACTATTTGATAAGTGCTATTGAAATCTACTTTTTTTTTAAAAACATCTACGAAAACATCTGTTCCGGCAACGGATGCGTACTATCGTAATTTATTGAGTTACAATAATATAATATTTCGACAAACATTTTCCTAGTAATGACAACTAAGAGCATAACTTGCGTGCGACGTGAGTATTTCGTGATTTTTGGCAGTGGAGTTTATTCCATAAATTAAAAATTCATGCTTTTTGGTTAATGTTGGTATTCCACATTTTAAAAGTGTGCAGTTAAGTTTTTCACATAGTCAAGTACATGTAAAATAGAGCCTTTGAATACCGACTTAAGGTAAGACACTTGGTTAAGTGGAAAAATTAAGTATTTTTACTTAACTTTAAGAAAATCTTTAAATACGGACCCAGGTGTAACAGAGAAAGTTTCAAGAACAATATATTTCTACTACTGTACCTTGTGTATGACTAGTGAAGCTAAATTTAGGATCATCTGATTTTTTACCATCTTTGTCTTCTGTCTCACCTCGTGGAGTTGAACACCTACCATTACAATGTACCAGTAATTAACATTTTACATTAAAAAACAACCTTTTTGTCTGTCTAATATTCATAATCATTGCACAGAAGTTAAAGACGCATTGTGTAAGACTTAGAAGGTAAAAACCTGACAGTTCTCGCTATAATGAAAAGGGAATATCTCAAAAATTTCTGTCAAATTTCTTCATTCTGAGCGGCATTAGGAGAGTTGTTTGGAGAACAGTGGAGCCTCGATTGTCATTGATATCATTGTTACGATAGTATTACAGTAAACAAAGTCTTGATTATCCATTTTTTAATTAAATCATTAACCAACAATCGCGTTTAAATCAGTTGAAAATCTCGAGCATCCGATGGCATCGAGAATTGATTTTGGTCCTGGCAAGTTAATAAATGTCTAATTAGCAATGAGCTAAATCTGTCTATTGCAGGTGGGTTTTTTTAGGACTAGTTAAATAAACTATTAAAGATACATTATGTTAGATTTATATAAAGAGCTAGCCATTCTTGCTATAATAGTTCGAAAATAGATAATGTAAAATGAATAATTTGAAAATTTCATTCAAATTGTTTTATTGCGAGCGTAGATATTAGCCTTAGAAAGTTTGACAAGACGTTTGCAATAATTTCAACCACCGTACTGGTTGTTCGAAGCTAAGTTTCGCTCCAACATTTTTAGCTTAAATCAAAATATGGCCGAACTGTTCTAATCTATTTAATATCGGAGAAATTCGATGCCATCGAGAGTTGATTATGGCCTGGATACGTTTAATAATAATGTCTAATTTTAAAATAATTTAGAAAACATTTCAGGCCTAAGGCTAAAGAAAGACCTGCAATAGGCAGATTTAGCTTTTGCATAATGTATGTTTAATTAGACATTTATTAACATGACAAGACCATAATCAACTCTCGATGCCATTGGATATATCCGATATTAAGTAGATTAGAATGGTTCATATGTCATATGTCCTCTGGGTTATTTTACACACGGAACAAGTATGTAAAGTCTTAATAAGATTGAGCTGAAAAGAATTACATGCAACTTGTCATTTTGCACTATAAATTTCATATTGTGGGCCTACAAGTAGATAATTACAAACAGGGAATAGCAAACTACTTTCTGTGATAGTGTACTGATGTTCAAATATTTGGAAGTCAATAAATAACTTACAAACTTTTTTTAAAGAAGTAATAAGGTTACCTTCAAAATCTAGTATCACTGTATCAACCTAAACGATCATTAAGATCAGAAGGGAAACTGTTATTGGATGTACCTGCCTATAATTTGAAATCTTTTGGATCCAGAACTTTTCGATACAGCGCAACAATTGTTTGGAAAACACTTTTAGAAAATATCCGACAATGTGAATCTGTGTTGGTTTTTAAATCCAAAGTGAAAACTTGGTTGTTTAGTAACTCCAAAGTGAGAACATTTTCTAGCGCCTAGTGCATTCCTTAGTGGATTGAATAGTTGCGCGATACAAATACCATTATTATTATTATTATTATATAATTATAAAGACTATAAAAATTACACACCACTATTTTTTGCTTTCCAAATCAGATTATTCGTTCAGTCATGTTTTGTTTTGCATAGCATTTTGAAAAAATCCTGACATAATAGTAATACGAATCATTAAAATACATACCTGCCATTTTGTGGTGACGAATTGAAGAATGAATAAGAGCTGCTTTCTTGGTTAGGAAACAAAAAGTCAGCTGCACTAGTTGGACTTAGGGGATTAAATATATAAGACTTAAGGTTACTTGGAGCAATAAACGTAAAATCATCAGGGAAGCCAACATCTCCACGTACTGTAGTAACTTTACTCAAACTTTCATCAGGCACATTAACATCTGAACTGGAAGTTGTTGGTTGATTCTTGGATTTACGGTTTGTCAAAGTTTGAATTTTAATTTTTGATTGTGGCTCCGTTGTCTTTACTTTGGCAGAGCCTTAAATAAATGAGACACCAAATACAATCAAAATAACTAAGAGTTATTTATTTATAGTTTTATAGGCACTTTACAAAGTTTGTAAACCAAAGAATAAACTATGTGGCAGGGGTGTAAAAATCCACTAGCCCGAAGCTACCAAAAATAACTTAAGGGCTAGTGACTTATTTAGATACTACTACTAGTCCTGGACTAGTGCTCTTTCACTGCTAATTTTTTATAAATTGTGAATTAAACACAGTGATATAGATAAATATACTGTAAAATATCCCACTTTTATTTCTCTAATCCAAGCAAATACAAAGTACACACCAGCTTAAATTTTGTTCATTTAACAAACTGCTGCATGGCTAGAATGGCACTTGGACACAAGATCTCATTGCTTTCTACATTGCTAACTAGAGAATGGTTCTTTTTGGCAAGGAAACACAAGTTATGACATGATGTGGGCAAATAAAAATAACATAGAGACCATACCTTAATTACATAAAGGTGTCAATGCTACACCGATGTAATTTTAAAATACTGTTTTATAAAAGAGACAAATGACATTACGAACCATTTTTTGCCATATAATTAATATAAATGAAGAGATATAATTTTGGAGAAATATTACCGGCGTGGATTTGAAGCAGGTACCGAGTCGGTACACTTTCATTCTATTGTATTAGATTATCATATTTTGTAGGAATATTATTTATTGACAAATTTAAATGCAATATGGGAATTAAATATGAAAAATAGCGAGGTGCAAATATTTTTTATATTATATAACATAAACTTATTTGTAGTTGAAGTCTATTAGAGGAAAGCTTATTGACATTATATCACACAGGTTGCCTGAAAATAATTTTCTACTATATATTATTGTATTGTATTATTAATGAGAACGTCTATGGTAACCAGGGATCTTAATAAGTCGTTTTTATCGGCTTCAGCCGCCTGAAGTTCAATCAAGCTGATTGGTAAAACAATGGACCAGCCACGATGGTATCATAAATCAATCTACTTTCGGCTAAATTACAACGGGTTAATTATTATTTGAATCAACTTGCTTGTCGGCTACAATAAGTCATACCTTAGTAAAAATCGGCCATGTGATTCATAATCCAAGTAATTAGCACACGTAACGGTAATTTTGATAATCCGGTAAAAAAACAAAAAAATAAATACGCTTGCTGATTATTCATAACAGGTCCAGTAAGTTGCCTTTGAGGAAATAGGGCATGTGGCAATCGAAGGAAGATGATACAATCTTGTAAAGGATTGTGCACCTTCGACAGTCCGTATGAATTCCAAGTGTACCGGTAGATATTAAATTAATAACTGGATCACAATTTAATGAATTCACTGACCAGTTGAAAATAACCCTCGGATAGAACACTGAATACACAGAGAAAAAGTCATTAAATAATATATTTTGAATCTCCAATGTCGAATATGACACGTGACATCGGTTAGAATTAGGTCAGTAAACCAGCAATGCTAGTTTTAACCCTTAACCGGTCATTGTCGACTATAGTCACCACAACGTTATACAGCTAAGTGGTTACGGTCGACTAAAGTCGACCACAGCAAGAACCTTTTTATAAGCCGCATTTGAAGACGATATTTCTGATGAAAAGGATTTGGAATGATTTGCAAATTATAGATCAACTTATCCCCAGCAACTTTTTTATTGTCGTCAAGAGTCTATCACTTATAATTATTCGGCAGTAGTCAATTGAAATAGGCATACAAAATATTTCACGTCAGCCTTTATTTTGCCTGACCACTTGACGTCATAACGTCAAAATGACGTCGACCGGTTAAGGGTTTTAATAGTGTTTACCATTATGATTTTTTTATTTTATACACATGCTGACAGAGGCTTGATTTTTAAAATATTGTCGTTATTATTATTGAAAGCTGTATGGCATAGACATATAGAAATTAATTTTAAAGCCATTTCAACTATGGTTGTCACGTGATCACTGTGCTGTGTCTATCATGGACGAATGAATAAAAACATTTGCAAGTTACCTGATAGAAAAAAAGCCCTACAAATTGTGTTATGAAGAAATACCATGGACGCGGTATCAACTTATATCCATAAAAAAAAAACGAATACAGTAATTTATTCAGGAATATTACTGACATGAATTTCAAGCTGGTACATGAATTGAATATGGAACATTTACCGAACGGTGTACCTGTTTGTCGTTATAGGTTATTTGTGGTAATTACTCACAGGGCAATTCCACGGTAACGGACGTACATTTTGAACTCGTCATATTTTGAATACTTCCAATATCATCTAACCATGAATAATTAACTGTTTGGGTTTCATATAGCATCAAAGACATATGTTATAAGTATAAACTGATATATGATTTAATTTGTTCATGAACACCCGAAATAAATATTGGCTACTCAAAGTATAGGTAACGGACGTACAGAAATGAACACTATGATTTGCCTGCATGAACATAGTTCCAAAAATCTGTGGAATTTAAAAGTTTTAATCCCTGTAAGAAAGGGCACTAATACTAGATGTTTACTGTATGATCACTTCTCACGTTTGGATTCTTGTAACCCAGTAAATTAGAAATTATTGTGGTAACGGACGTACATATTTTCTGGTAACGGACGTACAAGTGCAAATTGCTAACCCATTACATGAGATATGTAAACTTTTAAGTAATAGGACTGATAAATAATAATAACAATTAACTCATTTGAATTAATGGAGCAGTTACTTTCCTGAAAACATTACTCCTTGCATAAAATATTGTGACTTAAAAATTTTGGTAACGGACGTGCATACATCTATGAAACCCCAAATGATTCAGAGAATTTGGGCAAATGTTTTCTTTTTACGGTCATAATAACAAGAATGGGTGATATTAGCTTTAAATATAAGTTTTTGAACAGTTCCATAAATAAATATGAATGAGAGAGATAAAATGTAAATATTTGGCAACGTGAAATACCGTGAAAAGTAACGGACGTACATCTATGAAAAGCCAAGTTATTCTGAGAATTTTTGCAAATCTTTTTATGGTCATTATAATAAGAATGGGATATTTTAGCTTTAGATATTAATTTTTAAACAATTCCATACATAAATATGATTGAGAGAGAAAAAAAATGTAAATATTTGGTAACAGACATATACTATTCAAAAAAAGTAGGGGATATTTGATTTTGGGGGCATAATACTAAAATATGCAAATGACTACGAAAAAAGTCACTATAGAACCCAACAGAAGAAACATTTCCAGTTACATGTGACGCCCAAACGCACCAATAGCTACTGCATGGAATGCAGGTGATGCTTGGGATCATCATGGGGGTCCAACCCAAGATTTGCACGACTCTGACTTTGAATGTTACAGTCATTGTGGTATTGAATTCCAGGGTGGAAACATCAGTTTAATTGTTTTAGTGACCAGAAAACAAATTTTGATATGCGTCGGCTTACCCAAAATGAAAGGTTACGTGCCCTTGGCATGCTACAGATCGGCACAACACAGGCGGTTGTGGCGCGGACGATGAATGTTTCTCAGTCTGTCATAAGCAGGCTATGGTCCAGATACCGTGATACACAATCTGTACAGGACAGACCACGCTCAGGTCGACCAAGGGCGACAACTCAAGCCCAGGATCGATTTATCCGTACCTTGGCCTTGAGAAATCGTGTCATCACAGCAAATCAGATCAGCGCTCGTCTTCAAACAGACACTGGTGTGAGAGTGAGTGGCCAGACGATTCGGAATCGACTGCATAGGGGTCACCTTCGCGCCCGACGTCCTCGCGTGATCCCTTGTTTGAGAGATCATCACATTCAGGCAAGACGTCGTTGGTGTAGGGATCGTCAACACTGGGATAATCGACGCTGGAGCAATGTGATGTTTTCAGATGAGTCAAGGTTCACTGTTGATTTTTTGGACAGACGTAGGAGGGTGTGGCGTCGTCGAAACGAGCGCTTCCAAGACGTTAACGTCATCAGACATGATCGATTTGGGGGTGGTTCTGTTATGGTGTGGGGAGGCATCACTGTTGCTGGAAGAACGGCTTTACATGTTGTTGCAGGGCGTGTTACAGGCCAGTACGACCGGGACAACATCTTGGCAGTCCATGTTGTGCCGTTCGTACGACGTCATGGCCGCCGTTTCATCTTCCAGGATGACAACGCAAGATGTCACAGGGCCAGGATCGTTACAGGTTACCTCCAACAACAGAACATCACCACATTACCTTGGCCAGCACTGAGTCCCGACCTCTCCCCCATCGAGCATGTCTGGGACATGCTTGGACAGAGGTTACGTCAACGTCAACAACGTCCTGCCAATGTCCAAGAACTTGCGGCTGCGTTGCAACAGGAATGGGACAATCTGGACCAAAATGACCTTAGACGTCTCATTAGGAGTATGCCACGTCGGATCAATGCTTGTTTGGCAAACAGAGGAGGATTTACCCGTTACTGACTTGGTTGTGATGCTGTGGTAACTTTGCTGTTTGACCCCGGGTATCATTTTACCCTTATAATGGTCAGTCTGTGCCTTACTTAGTCTAACGATCATTTGGAATAAATCGATGAATGTGAACTTCATTTCATTTTGTCATTTGTTTCTTCGTCAGTTTCATTAGGTGACTTTAATAACACTTAAAAATCAAATATCCCCTATTTTTTTTGAATAGTATATTATGTTCTCATAGCGATATTTTTCAATGTTGGTTACTTTCACAAAACATATTTTATTTTCATATTTTAATGTATAAATATCATGTTTATACACATTGTTAGATAACTAATACCAAATCATTCATTATGATTCAGAATTATCAAACAAACACAAAGTAAGAGAATACAATAAAATTATAAATTCGACATTTACAATGTGAACCTTGACACAAGACTAAATAAAAAAATTTAAGTTTGCCTTCAAAATATAGATTATTTCTCACGATAAAAAACACTATTTTTGTCCACTTATCAACAAATTAAATTTTTCACGTAATTGTATACTTTGGCGTGGAATTGCCCTAAAGTAGAATACGATATTCCTCATAACAAATTACCAAGAATTATTTTTGTTGAATGGAAGCTTAAAATTTTAAAACTCAGTTCCAACTGGGACCTCTTTTGACCCAATTCTGGCCGATTTGTTTCAAAATGGATTAAGAACCCTGATGGTAACCTGTAGAAATTGAGGAGTAAAAGATCAGAAATGAATAAAATTGAGAAATGAAGACTTTTGTTTTTGTTTTGTTTAAATTTATACATGCATAATATTGAACATGAATCAATTCTTACGCCCACGTATGTAGTTAACCCTGTTAACGTACGCAAGCAATGAGTCAAAACTTTTACCTGTCACAGTCATTATGTCTGCGATATCTTTTATGCCTTTTAAGACTTCATATAGAAATTCTCATTCACAGTGGCCCTTTCCCGCGATCTCGATTGCCACACTAAAATTGCTTAACATTGGACGCAGTGCTTACTATAGTATGAAGCTATGTGCTATGAGTCCCGTACGCCATATGCTGAAGTTAGCTATGCCTTGACATCACCACAAGTATTATTATTGCGAACACCTTTCTTTCATTTGCTGCCGTATAGACCAAGACATGTAATTTTGGAGGAATATTACTGGCCTGGATTTGAAGCAGGTACGGATCGGCAAGCTTTCATCCTATCGTATTACGAAAACATGTAATTTTGTAGGAATATTACTGACATAAATTTGAATACCATACGGGAATTAAATATGAAAAATAGCCAGATGTCCCTATTTTTATTATGCACGGATTTGAATATTTTGTCGACATTTTATACAGAAGAAAACGATGTTCTGACACCACAAACTATTCTTATTTCGGAAGTTCTGCATTCATTTGCTGTCGTATAAACAAAGACACGTAATTTTCAAGGAATATTACGGTTGTGAATTTGATGCCTAAGCAGGATCGGCAAGCTATCATTCAATGTATTACGAAAATGCTTAATTTTGTAGGAATGTTACTGACATAAATTTGAATACCGCCAGGGATTTAAATATGAAAAATACAGAGGTACACTTATTTTTATTACGTACGGCATTTGAATATTTTGTTGACATGTGATTTTCAATTGCGGTATGAATTTGTCTGCTTAAATAACGATAAGAGTTATGCCCCTTTATTTTTCGGTAATTTTGAAATCCCATCACTGATATATACATCCTTATTTCATCAGAATATGTTTAACAACTTTGTGGTGGATCACAATTTACCAAAATCACAGAATATATGATGAACAGTAGTTTTTCATGTCCACCTCTTACACTCCGGTCCGAACCAAGAGTTTAAAATAACCTTTTGAAAAGTACTGTAGTGTCTAATGGCATAGAGAAATGACAGTAACCTACCATTTGTTTTATCCACTTTCTTAGCTGCTGTACTTGCTGTTGGAGCAAGTAACCTGTTGACACCACTAGTAGTTTGTCGTGTTGTACGTCTTGCAGGTGATGCTCTAGATTTTGTTACAGTTCGCCTAACTTCTCTTCTTTGAGATGGCTACAAAAATGAGCATATTAAAATAAATGTACGGAAACCTGCAGTACAGCATTTAATCAATTTTTGTAATTCAATACACTAAGCACATCACAAAATAGTGGGATTTATATGATTTGAAAGTAAATTTCAATTTACAACGAATATTAGGTAACCTGTGTACGAGCAACTGATGGTCCAGATGTGATTATCAAGAGAAGAGGGAATCATTATTAGGTCTGGTATGTTGTCAAGAATTTCATCAGCTGTCAAGAATTGATGAGGGGTGATGGGAAGATATAAACATATCTCATAGGCTACATAACAAGGGATTGTGACAGTTTGTGTTGAAACTAGAGTATCCACAATAACTTTCAAAGTGATCAAAAGCCATAACTCCAACAGTAAGGCCGCTGTTAATTAATTGTTTGTTTCTCGTGACCAGTCCGCATGTCTGTTTTTTATCCGTAATAATTACACACTTCCATAATTATTTGGTCAAATTTAGTGAGGTCACAAATTGGTACAGTAAAATTTGCAAAACTAGATTTGTTTGCCTTCAAATATGAACAATGAATTGGCCCATTAAAATTGACTGTTTATTGATGAACATGACACCATAGGTGATAAGTTAAGTAGGCTAGAATGTGAAAAAAATATGTAAGTCCATCTGTCATTCAAACCAAGGAATGGTTGCCCCACAGCATTTTCTTTCACTAAAGACGACATACATACTTCATAAGGCACTTGTCATCAATCTGTTTCACAGAGAATTACGAGTCTCGTATAATATCTCTGTCATAGATGACTGCCTTAACACGTGCTGTCACAGCACGCGGTGTGAATCATTGGCTGAATGGCGCGTGCATTGTTTTCATAAGACATAACTGCTTCGGAGAGAATGCTGCATTTTAGTCATTTTAATACCCATTTACACTAAATTGGAAATAATTTTTAACTACAAATACGTCAAACGCCTTTATTTATTTTTCCAATATATACAAAAAATGTTTTAGAATTTAATTTATCGCAGAAAAAATTTAATATTTCTAGCTCATTAAGCCGCATCAATGTCATCCTTATCAGTGATTGTCGCGGCCAAGCAAATATTCACTGCGGATCAGTGAATGCACGGAAAGATATAAATTCCTGCTAAAATAATTTGGTTCCAATACTGCCGCCATGAGATAGCCTCGATCATGAGGTACTGACTGATTGACACTACCTCACAGTATTTTATTAACCACGACACTCTAGAAACACAGTCTCAAAAGGACACAAAGATACTAATAAATGAGAATACTTTGATGAAGATAGACAAAACAAGCCAACAGTGAGGCTGATGTCCCCCACCGAAATCCCCAAATAAATAGATGACATATTAATTAATCGCACATTTATTTCTTTCAAAAGTATCGAGCAATGAAATTGACTTGGTCTGCTTAGCTTCAGCTCAAAATGTTAATCATTCACCTAATGAACATCTACATCAAGTTTAACCATTCTACCTCACTTCAAAGCAGGGTTGTTATGTTCTCAAGTCTTGACCAATCAAATTGCTTATCCCTCCTTAGCCTAAGCAGAAAATTCTCACCATCGAACTTAGTCAAGGTAATGATATAATGAATCTATATTCGAGTTTCATCGCTCTCACTTCATTATAACCAAAGTTATCGCGCCCCAAAGCAACAACCAATCAGATTGCTTATCTCTGCTTACCGGAAGCAGACAATGTTCACCATCGAACTCCATCAAGGCATTCACCTAATGATCGCCTATACCAAGTTTGAACATTCTACCTCAATTAGAATGAGAGTTATTGTGTTCCAAAGTCTCAACCAATCAAATTGCTTATCGCTCTGCTTACCCTCAGCAGAATATTTCCATTATCAAACTTAGTCATGGTATTGATGTAATAAAGCTAAACACCAAGTGTCCTCACTCTCACTTAAGTAGAACTAAAGTTATCGTGTCCCAAAGCATCTCTGCTTACCCTAATAATAATAAGCAGAAAATTCTCATCTTCGAACTCCATCAAGGCATTCACATAACAGAAAGCTACGCCAAGTGTGAATATTCTAACTCAATTAGAATGAGAGTTATTGTGTTCCAAAGTCTCGACTAATCAAATTGCTTATCGCTCTGATTACCCTTAGCAGAAAATGCTCATTATCAAACTTAGTCACGGTATTGATGTAATGAAACTACATCACGTTTCATCACTTAATTAGAACTAAAATTATCGTGTCCAAAAGCATCAACCAAACAAATTGCTTATCTCTGCTTACCCTAAGCAAAAAATGCTCATCTTCGAACTCCATCAAGGCATCGAGTTTGAACATTCTAGCTCAATTAGAAAGAGAGTTATTGTGTCCCAAAAAGTGTGACGGACAGATAAATGGACGAATTATAAAAGTATTTATATGCCGATGGGGTCAAAGTTGAAGACAATTTACATACAGGTTATTGGTAAATCTGTCTTCTTCAATTTTAGAGACACGAACACGTGTGTAATGAATTATTTGGACTGACTGATATGTTAATAATCTAAAAATCCAAAGGTACGGCCTATGCTTTTAAATATTTATGTCAGAACAAATCATCAACCTGATTGGAACAGGTCATTTCGTAACCTGTCAAAGTAGGGAAAGATCATGAAGAAATGAAATGCCAAGAATGAATGAATTAACGAACAGGTATCTTAGAGAAGCAGATCACTAATAATTTAGACCTATCGTTATGATCCCTGGCTGTTGTGCACCAGATAGTTTAATCTATAAAAATTTATTAAATGTGAATAAATCATGGACGCCGGTTACCGTTGGGTTTTAAATGACCAAGTAACTAACATTACTTATTGCTGAAATAGAAACATCGATAAACTAAAAAAATTTAAATTCCATCTCAATATTTAATAATTATTTCACAAACACAGGTCATGAGAAATAAACAATTAATTAACCACGGCCTAATTATTGGAAATTTTGTAAATATCTAAATCTAAAGCTTCTTTATCTTCTAAACGCTGTGCATACTTAGCCTCTAGAGTACATTCACAAACAATTACTGACAAAGGGCAGATAGAGAGGGTTGAGGCAGAAGACCATGTGTGACCACATTTGAATGTGGATAAGAAAGTGTTCCAATTTTAACATAAATCTCTTGGATTGTTTTATATGCAATAAAAAAAGAGATCTAAGTACAAATAATTTATTCTACATATTTAGCAGCAGGTGGATTTACCTTCAGTTTATTTTCAGGTTGTTTACTGGTTCTACTGTCTAAATTTGATCTTTTACTGATAGAGGCTTGTAATTCATCACCTTTTCTCTGAAACAAAATCAAATATTACCAAGAAACCTCAAGTTTTAATCCACCACAAAATTTTAAAATACAGCCACTTACTACTATCTGATTGAGATTAATGTCAATTGGAGGTATAAGAATATGGTCAAGAAAGTAACAGGTTTCTTGAGAGGTCTATGTTTCCCCTAGCCATTTTGATGGTTATTGCAATACATGTACATGTGCGACATGGCTGAGGTTATATTTGAATTAAGCCTTAAAATTAAAGTTTGATCGATGTATAATAATATTAAGGTTCTTTAAGAAGACTCAGAATAGTTCTGCAATCATCCATCAATAATCCACTGACGCACTTGCTGAAGATGTAATTATCGGACTACTTGCTATATATTTGGGTGGCAACAGACAAAAGTAGCGATTTTGGTTTTACCGATTAAATAAATCGTAATTCTTCCATTAATTAAGTATTCATATGTATTCATATTACTTACAGTGTATTATATATAAAGTAATAAAGTGCAAATTATGAGCTTGCCTAAGCTTACTTTTAGAGAATTTGTATGCTTTGTTTGATCTTTTGGTTTTGATTCTACAGGTTTTCTAGCTGGTTCCATTGGTTGTCTCTTGGATGATTGTTGAAATCCTGTATATAATGTATCATCCTTGTGTTCAATTTTACCCACTTTAAAGGGCATATTCCTTGCTTTTTCTAAAGCTTCTATTTTTCTCTTTGCCTCTTTTTCTTGTTTCCATTTCGATAATTGTGATTTTCTGTCCTCACCCGGATGTTTTCCTTTTAAAACAATTCATTGAAAATCAAAATAAATTCATTGCTAATTAAACAGGAATCTCAAATTTTAGAACCTACTAGGTCGCAGTGGATCAATTTCAAATTGCATAAAAATAAGCAGACTAGGGCTGGCAATCGATCCTGTTTAAAGTATCAATTATCACCGACCATCCATCCGCCTATCAATAATCGATAATATCGGCAAATTATTTTGACTTTGGTTTATAAACAATCATAATTTGTACATGAATAAGAATTAAATGCGAGTTTATGTTGTGATATCATTCTGTATACATGTAAAATTTTCTTCATTTATTTGACATTTGACAATAAAATAATAGCATTCCATAGCAAAACCAAGGTGTAGAAAGAAACTCGATCAACTTCATTTGGAAGACAGAACTGCCACCACTCGCCATATCTTTGTCGCTTATGGTCTGAATAATAATATGTAAAATGTAGTTATTTCCTCTTCACACATATCTTCGCAAATTCCTTGATAAAATAAAAAAGGGAAAGTACGTGTTTCACTTAGAAACATAGAAGATGAAAGAAATGAATAGTTAAAATAAGGGGCACAACTGAATGCTACGTGAAACCATTGGCTCTCATCATGAAATAAGCGGCCAACATTTCTCACCGGCGGTGTCTCGCGTGAAAAAACAAAACGTGTTTTTTATTATGAAATGAAATGAAATGAAATGGGGTTTAACGTCCTTGTCAGGCCCTCCGTCCTGCATCACTGAGAAGGGGGGATCACACCGGAAAATCTGAGTGAACTTTCTCGGCCAATGCAGGGATTGAACAACCGACCTCCAGGCTAGTGAGTCAGAATCTTACCCACTTAGCCACCGTGACCCCCCTGTTTTATTATGACTATTTCTGTTTAAAGATACATTATGGGAGATTCAGTAACTAGTTGGCAGTTCTCACTATAATAGTTAAAAACTAGATAATGTAAAGGCAATTTGGTGAAAATTTCATTCAAATTGATCCACGATGAACCGAGAACTAAGCGACTGAAATTCCCATAAGCCTTGGTCATCATTACTAAAGTCAGTACGATAAACAGCATAGTCTCGATTATCTATTTAATCGTTTAATCGAGAAGGAAAGTTATGCAGTAAATCGGCCTACAATCCACTAAAGATCGCAGGCTAGCGCTGCCATCTAGAGTTGATTATGGCCTGGATAGGTTAGTCTAATTAATAATTTAGATAACATTTCAGGCCTAAAGGTAGACCTGCAATAGACAGATTTAGCTCTTGCATAATGTATGTTTAAATGTAACAAAGAGATGCACTGAAAACAAAATATACAGGTTAAATACTATCTAGGGTACAAATAATCAACAGATGATTATAAGAGGAATAAAGATGGCAGCATGAAATGGATAAAACAATATGTGATCTTTAGATGGCATAACTTCTGTTAGGATTGACTGATATGCTTAACAATAGTAGACTACCTTTTATTGTGTGCCATCTGATGAAGTCTATATTTGCTGTTTATTGTGGAATAACTGGTGCTTAAATTAATATCTTTTATTAAAAGTTATTTTACCTGTTTTGATATTTTCTCCCATGTTTTCTTTAACCTATAAACTGTTCTAGGCCCAAGCACGCGTTGCAAAGAACACAGTGATAAGGATTAGTTTTATGGACTTCTTCTTACAAGTGAAATACCTATAATTGTGCGATAATCGATATTTCAAAACTGTATCGATAACCGATTTTCAAAACGCTTACCGACGATTATCGGCAATATCAATATTTTCCGCCAGCCCTAATGCAGACATTCCAAAAATTTGCCCCAAAAAAGTTTTTGCCCTCTAAATCTTCTTGACTTAGAGCCTCTCAAAATACTCAATAGAAGAAGCAGGTAAAATTGTTGCGCAACCAACCCTTTGTGTTAAGCGTCATTATTGATACTGTATTTATTTAGTCTAATGAAGACTAGAGGTTGACGGCATATCTATGGTTGACAAAACTGTCATTTCAATCCTTCAATTCGATAATGTAAAGAGCAAACTGTATCTCTAACAAAAGTCAATATTTGACTGGCTGAATGTAAACAGTTTATCGTGTAATTAGCCTTGTATGAAATGTTCTTTATTGCTTCCAGTGCGGCAAATGAGGGCGTGTCTCAGAAAAGCTTACTGCCATGAACTTAAAGATTATGAATGAAATAAGAGGAAATTTATAAACCTACTAATTAATGCCACGTGAAGCACATAGATTGATGACGTAGTGTACAAACCACAACAAAGATATAAAAGAATAATTTTATCGGTTATCTATCTAAACAAAATCTAATTATTCCCTTGTCGGGAAATTTTCTGCATGTTAATTACGCTGCTTCCGTCAATATTTGCGGTTATTATTATGAAGAAATTGCGTGAAAAACGTGGATTTTTGCATGACCGTGACCTTTGACGGTACCTGTAAGTAACTTAGCTTATAAATAGGGGGCAAAAAAGCTTGCATTAATTGACTCATCACTGCCGATGTTTTTATATTTGTGAAAGTCTAAATATGTCTTTGTAGACAGATCCCCATTTAGTGTGCCCCAAACAACTATTTTATCATTGGTTAGAAGAGGCATCTACTGTGTGAACAGTGGTAAATAATAAACGGACTTGGTTATTATAAACTTACCTGTGTGTTTGAAATTACCTCCGGTTATATAAAATCCATTGCACAACTATATGTCCTAGCGAATAAAAAAGTTCTCTCTTGTAAAATTGAACTCATCACAAACTTTGACACCGAGAAATAACCAAAATGGAAGCTAATTACGTCACTTATTGGGATATATCATTTCGTATAGGGGGGTCAAAGCAAGGCTTGTCTGTCGTAACGGTTGTGTATGAATAAGCTATTCCTCTCAGAACCCAGTAATGAGTTTGGGCGCTTAAAAAAATAAATACGCCCGTGGCCGTAGTCCGGTATTTTGTTTCCCTCTTGTATTATAATTATTTGGTTAGAGAGTTTGGTGGGATTATTTCTTTTGAACTATATTTGTTTTACTGACCTTGAATTAATTTCACCCTTGAATATTTTCATACGCCCACATTTTCATGTGGACGTATTATGCCGTCGCCCCTGTCCGTCCGTCCACAATTGTTTGAGAACTCTCTACAGGTCACAATTCTTATCAGATTTTGACGAAACTTGAAATATAGGTTTATCCCCAAAAGATCTCGGCTGCTTTCGATATTGGCATGTATCGGATCGAGACTTCATGGATTATGGCCCCTGATATTACGAAAAATTGTGTTTTTAGCTTGTGGACCCAATAGAGGTCACAATTTTTATCCGATTTTGTTGAAACTTGAAATGTAAGTTTATAACCCAAAGATCTCGGTTCCTTTCAATATTCGCGCATATCGGACTGTAACTTCCTGAATTATGGCCCCTGATTGTACGAAAACTCGCGTTTTTAGCTTGTGGACAATAGAGAGGTCATAATTTTTATCTCATTTAAAAAACCGTACTATTATATCACCGTTACACCCTAAGGACGGCTGAGTTCGAATTTCGTGAAAATCGGCCCAAAATTGACAGACAAAATGGCCGCTGTTCGTTCTCAAATAGCGTAAAAATATGGTATATATCAAGGTTGTGGACCCTATAGAGGTCACAATTTTAATCCGATTTTGTTGAAACTTGAAATGTAAGTTTATTACACAAACATCTCGGTTCCTTTTGATATATGCGCATATCGAATTGTAATTTCCTGAATTATGGCCCTTGGTTGTAGGAAAAATCACTTTCTTTTTAGCTTGTTCTCTATCCATCTCTCGAAAATGTAGGTGTATCCTGCCTGTCAGCCACTGGTTAATATTTCCTGATGAACTGAACTGTCAATTAACCTCAGCAATCTGCTGTAGCCGAGGTAAATGCCGATGTATTTTACATTTGCCTAGACAACATTAATAGCCGAGACCATTGAATTATTGAATAGGTATAGGCCTATAACGTTATTTTTTTTTATATATAAATACCAAAAATTATTACCAACAATTAATCATACCGCACACCGGATTAATTATCGGCAGATAGTTCAGTTTCTTTCTATTTCGCTCTGAATGTTATTTCTGGTGTGCAAAAAACTGTTTAGAAAAATTTATAATTGTACGTGATCAGTAACACAAATATTTTGTAAATTCCCGGCTTTGTTTTGAAATTCACAAGGCAATGTATCCAATATACAATTATATATACAAAGGTGAAAAACAATATTTTATTTACGAGTATTCGTATAATTGGTGATATATTCATTGTGAATAAAATTTAGTAGACTGACAATCAATTGTTTCCAAATCAATGTCTTTGTCTCAGTTGCTATTGTGTTGCCAAAACTCAACAACTCGAAACGGTCGTGCGCTGTTGTTATTACAACAGTTGTGATTACAACACACGTGATTCAACCTTTACCCCCTTTCAACATATTATGATGGTTTAGCTCACGACATGACATGTGTAATGCTGTGATGGACACTGTCGAAAATACAAGCAAAAACATTGACTTTTCAAGAAAGAACTTTTGCTTTGGTTTGGATATTTAATTGTGCAATGGATTTTATTCAACCGGAGGTGATTTCAAACACATAGGCAAGTTTTTAATAACAATTATTCAGACAGTAGTTTGTTCACAATCGAAGAAATCCGTTCATAATTTACCATTGTTCACACAGTAACTGCTTAGAATAGATAACAAATCTCATCTCTCAACCCACTGTGTTTTGAGATAGGCAGTGGATATTTAACCGTATACGACAAAGTATCTACTTCCGCTATTTTACCGTACATCATTCTGATTGGCTAATTTGTATGATGACGTCATACCTTATTCAAAATGGCAGAGAGTACAGATGTTCTGAAAATAGGAGATAAATTTGAACCCTAACCCATTTTTCTAATCCATCAAAATGGGAAATTAAATTAAAATAATTACAATAGTGTGTTCTTAATTTATTTTCAAATTTTGGGATTAATACTGATTTTTAAGATAGTCGTAATACGGTTAAATTCATCTCATGTACGGTCAAATAATCCAGGAACTGACACTTGATGACGTCACTATATTCCAGCCAATCAGAAACAATGTACGGTAAAATAGCGGAAGTAGATACTTTGCCGTATACGGTTAAATATCCACTCCGTTTAAGATAAGAGATGGTCCTATATAGTTCCACGTAGCAAAGCCCAACGCAAATCACATCGGGCATCAGTAAGCCAAATTGAAACCATATTTTTTTTATCAACGATTGATTATTGTTAAAGGGACAATAACACTCTTGCTGGCTCCAGAAAATAAATAATATCTCTATCTAATTACTAGGTGTTTAAGTGTCCTTCCTGTTGTGTAAATTATCCATTACATCCTATTTTACTTGTCCAGAGGGTTCGAAAATATCTTTAAATCGAAGTTTCATTTGAAAAGGTTTACGTTAGACGTTTCAAACCATTATGTTGAGTTTTTAAAATTTTTTAAATAAGGAATAAGGTGTGTTAAGATGAAATTTGTATCATCAATTAATTGAAATATTCTAAAATAGTACAATTTGTTGACCAGAATAAAGATTGGGACATATTATTCAGTTACAACAAGAGTGGTATTGAGCCTTTAATGTTATCGAATGCCTAATGTTATTTATAAATTTTGGTAGGCCTATTGCCCAATGTCAAAAGTTTAGGAACAGGAGTTCAATTTTTCAAGAGAGAACTTTTTTATTCATTGGGATATTTAATTATTTATTATAATTAATTGTGCAATGGATTTTATTTAACCGGAGTTGACTTCAAACACACATTTAAGTTTACAATAACCAAAGTTATAGTTTGTTCATAATTGAAGAAATCCGTTTATAAAATAGGAAGGTTCAGACAGTTCAGTCTCAGTAGTAGCAGGGAAAACAATCTGATGATTATTCAACGAAAAGAACAAAGGAAGATTTCCCGTCCATGTTACAAATACAATTAGCTTTCAAACGGTATATTACCATTTTTTAGACCTAAAGTCTTTCCTGGTTTTCTTGACGGCGTGTCATTTGTTACTTTTGCGGGAGCTAATGCTGAATTATGAAATATTTCTTGAAGTGGCGACAAATCTTCAATCGCCCGTCGTTTTTCTTGCAGTTGTTGTCTCTGGTTTTTCCAGTCAATTGACCTTCTCTGACTTCGCACAAGACGTTTGTCCACCGTTACAGACTTGATTTTATATGCATCTGAATAATTTGATTCCATTTTTTCTAAATAAATAAAATAGATCTGGATCAAAATATTTGACTTTGGCTCTTCATGCTATTCGCGCTACCATTTAAATCTCGTTTGATTACTTTGTACTGATTGGCCAATCAGTTTACATCCGCAAAGGGAAGTCACTATTATCTTAAAAGGTCTGGTAAATCGAGACAACAGACAAAATGTCCGACAACATAAAATGTATTTTTACATATCCGATTTCGACAACAGACGAGGAACTGGAAGATAATTTTTCAGTTATAGAAACAGCAGATTTACACGAAAAAAGACCAGTCATTGTCCTTTTGGGATGGGCTGGTTGTTTGGATAAACATTTAGCCAAATACAGTGCAATTTACGAACAAAAACGGTGAGCGCATGATTTTTGTGAATACCTGACAGCTCATTCCAGAGACAACTCATCCCAATATAAGAGCTATAGTGAAACTCATGTACATAAGGATATAATGTCATATTCTGAGGAATTTCTATAAGGCAATGATATGGAAACAATCAGCAAGACTGGGGCCAACATTTTCAGTCGCATCTATCTATGGATGGTTCAAAGAAGGAATTGAAACGCGGATGCGCCCAAAAATTAAAAAAAAATTAAAATTTAAAACAACAAAATCAATTTTATTAAAACAACAATATCAATTTTATTAAGATAACACATTTTTATAACAAAATCAGAATGGTCTGAGTGGTCTTCAAAAGAAAGCAATTGTATTAAACAGCGTATTAAACAAATATAACTGGCACCAATATATATTTGTTGGGATGAGTTGTCTTATTATATCTCGACCCATGTTTTAAAGTTGGGATGAGTTGTCTTTTATCTTGGGATGAGTTGTCTTTTATCTTGGGATGAGTTGTCATATATTGGGATGAGTTGTCTTGGGATGAGTTGTCTTTGGGATGAGTTGTCAAGGAGCATGATACAGGATGTGGTCATAACGGCCAAAACAGGTTTTGGTCATAACGGCCATAAATTGGTCATAACGGCCATAACCTAAAACCATAACGGCCATGAATTGGTCACAACAGCCATGAATTGGTCATAACAGCCATGGATTTTAACAGACATTTACAGTGCAGTTTTAAAAAAAAATGGATAAAAATTTGGTCATAACAGCCCAAAATAAAATTATTTATTTCGTCATAACGGCCAATTTTTTATTTATTTGTTTATTTACAATTACTTTCTTTTGTTATTGAGTGGCCACAAAATTTTACATTACCTATTATTTTCTATGTAATGTTGTTGCTGCTTTAGAAAATAATGTTAAAGAACCATTTTTCTAACACGGAAAGCTTCGTATATTTTTTTAATTTATCATTTAAAAGAAAAGCCAAATTAGGCTAATTTCATTTGATAATAAATTGATGGTTTATTATTTTTAAGTAGATGTATGTTTTTGCATGCAGTTTTAATTTTGTTGTTATATACATGTATACATTTAATTGATGTTCATTTCTCTGTATTGAATAGAATAAGATATGTATTTATTTGTAAAATTGTCAAGTTCATTTCTCTGTATTGTATAGAATATGTATTTATCGTAAAATTGTATATTATATTTATATCTGAATAAAAAGAACTTTGAACTTAATGGAATAAAGATTTAACTAAAATTAATGCTAATCATCATCTTTTTTTAATCCTTTGGAATATAATTTAACTGATTGATGGGCATTGTTAATTAAGATCAATTAACATGTAAATAGTATTAAGCCAATTAAAGGTATAAATTAAAACCAATTTAATAACAATTGTAGATTAAAAACAAAACAAAAATTAAAACAAATGAGTGAAATGACCAAATATTTTAAATAATTTCATCAAATATTTATAAGAAAACGTTTTAATGACCGTACCTAATAATTATTACAAAAATGTATGTGATTTTACCCAAAATGTAGCCTACGTGATTTTACCAAATATCTATTACAAAAATATTAATGAATTTACCAAACATTTATTAAGGCTGCAGCTTACTCTTAAGATTCACGCTAAATTGCTGAAATAATACTTATTGATACTTTAGTATCTGTCTCATTTACCTCTAAAAAGTTGACTTCGTTGGATAGGCCCTAATAAATTAAATATTTACTGCTTGGGTAGAATGCAAAAACAGTCAGTAGCACTCCATAAAATATATTCTCTAGTGTACACGGGCCTGAACAATTACTCTCTAAAATAAAATAGAAGAGCTAATGTATACGGTTGCTCAATCAAATAAAAATATTATAAATATGTGTATGTTGTTTTATTTACAACTTAAAAAACTAATTGGCCGTTATGACCAAAATTATGGCCGTTATGGCCCTTATGACCAAAATTTTGGCCGTTTTGACCAAATTTTATGGCCGTTCATCCTCGGTTACCCAGTGTACTCATTCCGTTCTACTCCACTATACCCTGGGTTAATCTATGGGGGAGACACGTTTTCAAGTTATCCACCCTTGATGATTGTGCTATTTTTATCGACCAATCCCATAAATTGTTATTTGAAAAGGAAGTTGGCAAAGGGAAGTAACTCTCATCGGACAATGTTAGGAGTTGGCCTATTCTAAATGCGTAATTATTAACAACCAATTATTTATTATGTTAATGAAGACCAGACGTTCATATAATAATGTTGGGTCATTAGTTTTATTTAGAATCGTTCGTTCGTTCCCAGAATTTTATGTCCACGTGATATCGTAGACAAGTTATTGTGAATCAATTGCCAAGTATAAGTTCAATAATAATAAACATAACAGAATGACATATTTGAGACAAAGAACGAATAGTAATAATAATAACAGTAGTCAAACATATAGATGTTATACATATTTGAAATCAACAACACATACTACAGATTTTGATAATACAATTAAATATAATAAATTATAAATATAAACATTATTTACATAAATCATTCAGTAAATAGACATGAATATGGTTATCTACCCTTATAAAAACGAAGGCGAAACGATTGGTTTGTAAACTGTTTTCTGATTGGTTCGTAGACTGTAGCTACATTCTTGTCCAGGGCAGATAATTTGAAATCGTGGAAACCCGATGGATTAACCCAGGGTATAGTGGAGTAGAACGGAATGAGTACACTGGGTAACCATGATGATGGCCGTTATGAATGAATAAATATTTTGAGCGTTATGTCCATAGCCTTTGATACTAGGCCTACATTGAGATTTTGTTCATATACTTGTAAAATGTTATATAGTCATTACTTCTTGTTCACTTTGGATAACAGATTCTAAAGTCTAGTCCAGTAACCCTCCTTTTTAGAAGACATTTTCATTCATGTCTTTTGCTTTTCTATTATTACTCAATTATATTCGAGAGGTTTCGCAACTTAACAGTTATATTTAGATAAGTGTAAGTGGAAACTGTACATTATGCATTATGATGTTTCGCTAAATTCACACCTACAATTACACTTAGAAGGTGGCGACACAAACCTTGTCCACAATATCGATAGGCCTTCATCACAGATAGATTGTTAAAGTTAAAGATGATATTAATAAAGAACGCACTTGTTTTGTCACAGCCTCTTCTTATTTTATCTACATGTAGTACATGAAGTAGAAGGTCTTCTCTGTGGATTTAGTTCGTGAAAAGCACGATTCAGAAAAAAATTTTGGACTGGATTATAGAAATTAAACAAGGTTTAGCTAAGTGTTGTGAACTTACAGTTATGGAGGCTGCTATCCATCGGACACACTTTTATGATGTGCGCTTCACGTCATATGTCACAAAAACGGATGACGTTTAACCGTCTAAATGTAAATGGAAGTGTAAATGTAAAGTTGTGAAACCTCTCTAATAAATCCTGTCCTTTGATTTATGCAATCTCCAATAAATGATTAATTGCCCTGTATCCTATTTATTTTCAATAAGCTTTGAAGCACGACCAGATATGTTTATTATTTGTTGGATTGGGGTATGGAATGTGGCATAATTTTTCAAAGAGCCTTGATGCTATTCTGATTTTCATCACCTCAACAAATAAAGAAAGTCTGACCATGCATATGCCTCTGAGTAGAAGGATATTTATTGAAAGTGTTATATTTTGTTCTTTCAGATATATTACAGTAAGATGTATATGTCCAACATCAGTTCTGTTTTTTAATCACGGTAAATTAGCTGGTTTATCACGAGACCTGTTACAATCCTTGTATGACAACAAGCTCAGTGGACATCCAATTTTCTTCCATATATTTAGTAATGGAGGATGTTATGTTTATTGTAATATATCTAAGTTACTTCATGGTTCAGATGAATACAGATCTTTAAATGTTCATGGCTGCATCTTTGACAGTGCACCTGGAAAAAGACGATTTCTTAAAGCGACGAAAGCATTTATGGCCACACTACGTGTTAATATAGTCTTTAAATACCTATTAGGTTTTTGTTGTATGATTTTTCTTGTTCTTTCTTATGTTTATACTTTGTTATTGCAAACTCAAACTAAGTCTAAAGATGCTTTTTTGTTATATGAAGGAATCGCTCATGATGAAGGAAGATGGCCTGAAATGTTCTTGTACTCTAAGGCTGATGAAACTATATATCATACTGATATTGAGGAAATAATTGATTATCGTAAGAAGGCTGGAGTTAATGTTTTCAGTACATGTTGGGATGATTCGCCTCATGTGAAACATTTTCCATGTCATAAAGAGGTTTATACAACACTTTGTCATCACTTTATAAATACATGTCTTAATTCTAATAGGAGTTAACCTAAACTTAATTTTGTAATTTTCTTAATACTGAATCACTGTATCAATTTATTAAATTAAAAACAATGTACAGCAATTAGTAATATACTATTCAAAAAAAGTAGGGGATATTTGATTTTTAAGTGTTATTAAAGTCACCTAATGAAACTGACGAAGAAACAAATGACAAAATGAAATGAAGTTCACATTCATCGATTTATTCCAAATGATCGTTAGACTAAGTAAGGCACAGACTGACCATTATAAGGGTAAAATGATACCCGGGGTCAAACAGCAAAGTTACCACAGCATCACAACCAAGTCAGTAACGGGTAAATCCTCCTCTGTTTGCCAAACAAGCATTGATCCGACGTGGCATACTCCTAATGAGACGTCTAAGGTCATTTTGGTCCAGATTGTCCCATTCCTGTTGCAACGCAGCAGCAAGTTCTTGGACATTGGCAGGACGTTGTTGACGTTGACGTAACCTCTGTCCAAGCATGTCCCAGACATGCTCGATGGGGGAGAGGTCGGGACTCAGTGCTGGCCAAGGTAATGTGGTGATGTTCTGTTGTTGGAGGTAACCTGTAACGATCCTGGCCCTGTGACATCTTGCGTTGTCATCCTGGAAGATGAAACGGCGGCCATGACGTCGTGCGAACGGCACAATAACACCAGTGTCTGTTTGAAGACGAGCGCTGATCTGATTTGCTGTGATGACACGATTTCTCAAGGCCAAGGTACGGATAAATCGATCCTGGGCTTGAGTTGTCGCCCTTGGTCGACCTGAGCGTGGTCTGTCCTGTACAGATTGTGTATCACGGTATCTGGACCATAGCCTGCTTATGACAGACTGAGAAACATTCATCGTCCGCGCCACAACCGCCTGTGTTGTGCCGATCTGTAGCATGCCAAGGGCACGTAACCTTTTCTGGTCACTAAAACAATTAAACTGATGTTTCCACCCTGGAATTCAATGCCACAATGACTGTAACATTCAAAGTCAGAGTCGTGCAAATCTTGGGTTGGACCCCCATGATGATCCCAAGCATCACCTGCATTCCATGCGGTAGCTATTGGTGCGTTTGGGCGTCACATGTAACTGAAAATGTTTCTTCTGTTAGGTTCTATAGTGACTTTTTTCGTAGTCATTTGCATATTTTAGTATTATGCCCCCAAAATCAAATATCCCCTACTTTTTTTGAATAGTATATAAAGTAGGTGTCACCGGTCTAACCTCTATGTTCTACAGTTTTCTCCCACTGCTAAAGACCATGTTAAATCAGAAAATTTGTAATTTAAATAAGAGTTTTAGGATAATTTCATCCAAATCATGTGTCGGATAACCTTGCTCTTAATATCAGTTCTTAACCAGCACATACCAATAGGTTGGAATTTCCAAGATTTTTGTACCACCAAAAAATTAATGACTGGCCGCTATTCCTTGACAGGTCCCTCATCCTGCATCCTGAGAAATTTATAAGGGGAAACCAATATGGTCCCTGATTTTACGAAAAATCGTGTCTTTAACGTGTTGACACTTTTTTTTATCCGATTTTGATAAAAAATAAAAGGTATGTTTGTTACTCAAAGATTTCGGTTCCTTTCGATATTGATGTATATCGGAACGTAAACTTCCTGGATTATGCCTCTGATTGTACGAAAAATCACGTTTTTAAAATAGCGAAGTCTCTAACTCGATATCATCCAAAGTCTTTGACATTGAAAACACGAACTATTTGTCAATTTAAATCAACATTGATGTTGTGATCTTACCTGGAAAAGATGGGCTTTTGATATCCAATATTTAAGGCAAAATAAACATTTTACCATTGGTACACAAACTTGTGTACCATAACGCGTTTCAGCGCTATTTGTAACAAGGGACTCAAAGTACCAGGCTAGACATATTCCACAATAACTGATTTAAAATTGAGTAAAACTAGAGTAAAAATGGAAACAATTAATTGTAAATCAGTTTATATGCATTCATATTAAATTATTATATGTGTTGCGGCATATTTGTGTCAATTTCTAGGTCCCAAATATTAGCGATTTAGCTCCTTTAACTTGTTCTATGTCCATCTCTTGCAAAATGTGGGCATACATGTATCTTGCGTGTCAACCGCTTGTTAAAATGCTTGTTCAAATTTTTGAGGTGTCTTACTTAGTTTTGTTTTAAATTGTATTATTTTAATTTTATAAAGAATATTGATAACAATAACTTTCCTGTGTTGTTTTGTTTTTGTCCCCCGCCTTTCGAAGAAAAACTAGGTCATTTCGGGACTAACATGTGGTTGAATTTTATTTCAATAATTCGCTTGCGCATAGGGGTCTTTAGCAGTGGGAGGAAACCGGAGGACCCGGAGAAAACCCACGAGGTTGGACAGGCGACTCTACTCCTTGTCACGTACAACCAGGGATTCGAAACCACGCCAGTTGACTCAATGACAGGCTTTATGATACAGCACGCACGTGCTAACCATTCGGCGTTGATAAACGAGATGATGGTTTATTTTAAGCGACACTGACACGCACCGCATGTTAGGGTTCGGGTTGGTCCAAAAATTCGGGTTTGATCCAAAAATTCTGCCGTCATGTGCAATTCAAAGTGATTGACCCCGTGAGGAATGTGAGGAAGACCGACGCCGCTGTCTGTAAACCCGAATTTTTTCGGGCATTTCGGATTCTGCCCCCCCAACTGTCATCGATCCCGTACGCCTATGCATGAGCACGAGTGCCGTCGCCCGAAGTTTTGGATGCCATAACACTAACATACACGTACAATAAATGGCGTGCCGATTGTAGTGATGCCAATCATTTAAAGAAAACTGAAACAGTCAGCAGATCAAGACCAAAATAAGTATATAATCCAGGCCCGGCGGTGTGGGGGGTGGGGGGGGCTTTAGCCCCCCCCCCCCAATAATTTGGCCGTACATGTAAGTACGCTTTTCTCCAGGTTATTACGGCCCCTGGACCCACGCCTATAAGGACCTAGGATGGAAGCCCCCCCAATCAAGAATTGCTTCCGCCGGCCCTGTAATCAACTCATGCAATATGTCCCCACCCGACAGTTTAAAGATAATTTTTACTAATCTATAAGACAATCATCATTTATATCAACATTATCAGTTAGAGTCTACACATCAACTGCAGATAGGGTGTGGTCCTTAAATATATTCCGCCATAAATATGAACGTTTATGTAAACGGTGTAATAATAATAATCAAATATGAACGCGGTATTACGTCCTATTTTTCTGCACCAACCGGAACATACATATGCAGTGCGCTATATGGGAAATTTTGATCTGTCAGCGGCGCTACGATCTACCCCGATTTAGAATTCCAATCTGTCAACGTTTACACCGCCATCCGAACGATTAAACTTTTTTTAAATGTTGAACCATAGGGTTTAACGTCATCCTTACCTGCCATCACAGCGGCGCTATACTTTTATTTCGAATTCCAACTGACAAATTTTTTTTTACGTGCACGGGACCTCTCATACACTCATTCCGTTCTACTCCACTATACCCTGGGTTAATCCACAGGGTTTCCACGATTTTAAATTATCTGCCCTGGCCTTGATTGTAGCTATAGTCTACGAACCAATCAAAAAACAGTTTACAAACCTGTCGTTTCGCCATCGTTTTTATAAGGGTAGATAACCATATTCATGTCCAGATACTGAATGATTTATGTAAGTAATGTTTCTAATTCATTTATATTTAATTGTATTATTAAAATCTGTTGTACGTTTCGCTGACTTTTGTTATTATTATTACTATTCGTTCTTTGTCTTAAATGTTTTATTCTGTTATGTTTATTGTTACTGAACTTTATAATAACAGTTTATTCACAACTACATGTACAGGCATGAGTATGGAAGTTACAACAAACGTTTCACATTGTGAAGCATAACAATATCTATCTACATGTCTTACAAAATAACATTAATTTTCAAGATGGTGTATGGTAGAAAACCGCCCAAAATAGTCTTGGTTACCAAGACACCTAAAATGTACCAGGTTTAGTTGTCCGAGCCTACAAATCATAACACTTTTAATTCTTTACTTTCAATGATAACTGATATATATTCATTGTTTTTTTTTGGGGTGGGGGTTTGTACATAAATCATTGGGTAATATATTAGAAAATAATTATAGTTGCATTTAGGTACCAAAACGTGTAATATTTATACATTTTGCAGGGGGCGGGGGGGGGCAGGTTCCTGAGAAAATGCCCCCCCCCCTCGGCTTGAAATTTTTTGAGAAATACGTGGTCTCTGTCGTCATTTTGGCGTATATACATACACATTGATCTTTTTAAACAGAGAAATCCAACATCCTGTTTGACGTCAATTTTTATTATGAATTAATACGATGACATTGTGATTCAATTTTATTGATGCAAAGCATTAATTGGGATATGTCTATATCATTATCTCGCGCTTTGAGTGCCATCCTGTCACACCATCTGACGATAAAGGATAAAGCACAATTATGACACTTTTCTCATAAAAAAAAGGTTGTTTTACAAAAAAATTTATGTAGCTGAGCAGTAGGACCCCCAGTCCCCCACCGTCTGGATCCGCGCCTGTTATACTTGGCAATTTGATTCACCATAACTTGTCTACAATATCAGGTGGACGTAAAATTCCACGAACGAACGATTCTCAATAAAATTCTTGAACGTACATAAACGCACGTAGATAACAAACCTTAACCTCTCAGCCCTCCGTGTTCCGAGATAAGAGATGATGCCATTACCTTCAATGGAGCACATGCGGGAGCGATTCGCACCCGGCACTTGTAAACAAAATTGACAATATTTTTAATCAAAAAAACGATTGGTTATTGTTATTTATAATATTTCTGCCACATCCAACTACAATTAAGCATATAATCCTACTTGAAACGGGTACAAATCCCCTCTTTTTAAATCGAAACGACAGTAGATTGCTTTTTCCGACATTTTAAATTTACGTCTGTAACACATAAAGGCGGGGCCTCGTGTGCAATAGCCAATCAAAGTACCCATCTGATCAGAGTTGCGCAGTAGTAATACGGCGTAATATGAACGTCCGAATCAATTTTGATAAAAACAACGCTTGATTTACTTTATTGTCAATATTTGCTGATAAATGAATGTTGTTTCAGTAGATTGGACAGCGTATGTGTAATAAGTACTAATAGTATAAAATTAACTTATTTTTAAGATGGTACATACATTAATAAAGAAATTGAGTTTGCCACTTGGAACTAAAGGCATCCAATCGTAGCTAAAAACAAGCACATCAGTATATCTCAGCGTTTTTAGTTACGTTCTCGTAGCTAAAATGCACGGTCTTCATTAATGTAATATTATATAATTTGTTGTTAATAATAGGCATTTAGAATAGTTTGGACTTTTCTCATTTAGGCGAACTCCTAGCCTTGTCCGTTGAGGGTTACTTCCCTTTGCCAACTTCCTAGGTGCCCCCCCCCCCCCCATAGGTTAACCCAGGGGTTAGTGGAGTAGAACGGAATAAAACCACTGGGGATAGCGACGATGGGGACGTCTGTACCTTGCCAGCACCTCCGTCCTGTACCACTGACATGGGGTAAACACACCGAAAAATATGAGGCACTTTCTCGGTCACCACCGGGCGGGATCCAGAGATCACACCGAGCCCGCAATCAACGGTCTTGACATTTCAAAACCAAACACTGTCATATTTATATACACTTTAATAAAACTTCATTATATAATTTTAAAAATAATATTGTATAAAAATATAACCGAATACACGAGGATCACTGTTAGTATTATACATACAACAATAGATAAATATATACTTATTTAATATGAACAATGCACGTATTTCACAATCTTCACGAAATAAGATGCCAGATAGTATTTTTTTTTTTTTTCATCTCAAAAATATCAAAACAATAAAACATATCCATGGACCTGTCGATGATTTTTACTTTATAGACGCAGTTTAATGTACCCAATGCCGTTCTTAAACGAATAACAAAGGTGCTTGTGTGCATTCAAAGTGTAAACAAGTTAAAATAAATATTCTACAATATTTTGCTATTAACTAAAATATACTAATATAATGGAATGTTCTATTTACTTATCTAATTTCTTGGGAGTACAGTGATTTCAAAACTGGCAGAAAATTACTGTTGTCCAAGTGCCTTCATATGATGTATGCTTACTACTTCACACGCTATTCTAATTACCAAAAATCATTTAGATCTTATTATGCAATGTGCCTATTTCGGGAATGCAAGAAAGTTAAATTCTTTACCAATCTGCTTATTCTAACAACATTTTATAAAATCAGTGGAATACTGATGTTTAACGTCTCGTCGACACGTTGCTTTAAGACCGTGTTCAATATGAGAGGTACCGGTAATGCAGTGGATCCGAACTTAATGCTTCAGAGCCTGATGACGGAAACTGAATCTAGTGAAATGATAAACCAACGTCTGCCAGGCAGGATACGCCCACATTTTGCAAGATATGGATAGAGAACAAACTATAAACAAAAACGATTTTTTGTACAATCAGGGGCCATAATCCAGAAAGTTATGGTCTGAAATGCACAAATATCAAAAGGGACTGGGATATGTTTTAAGTTTCATCAAAATCGCATAAAAATTGTGACCTCTAGAGGGTCCATAACCTTTGTATTACATACTCATACAAAATTTGCGTACAAAGAGCGGCTATTTTGTCGGGCAGTTTCATTTCGATTTCTCTGAAATTCGAATTCAACCTTCATTATGGTACAATGGTGATATCAGTAAAAACAATTGTGACCTCTAGAAAAACCACAAGCTAAAAATGCGACTTTTCTACAAATCGGATCAAAATCGGATCAAAATTGTGACCTCTAGAAGGTCCACAACCTTTATATACCAGATGTTTACACTATTTGCGTACAAGAGGCGGTCATTTTGTCCGACAGTTTTGGTCCGATTTTCACGAAATTCGAACTCAACCATCATTAGGGTGTAACGGTGATATACTAAAACATTTTTTTAATCGGATAAAAATTGTGACCTTGAGAGGGACCATACGCTAAAAGCGCGATTTTTCGTACAAGCATGGGCCATCGACATCGACAGAAACCAAGATCTTTGGGATATAAACATGCATTCCAAGTTTCATCAAAATCGGATGAAAACTGTGACTTCTAGAGGGCTCACAACCTTGATATACCATATTTTCACACTACTTGCGTACAAGGGGCGGTCATTTTATCCGGCAGTTTTGGTCCGTTTTTCACGAAATTCGATTTCAACCATCACTAGGATGCAACGGTGATATACTAAAACGTTTTTTTTTTCAAATTGGATAAAAATTGTGACCTCTAGAGGGACCACAAGCTAAAACGTGATTTTTCGTACAATCAGGGGCCATAATTCAGGAAGTTACGATCCGATATGCAAGAATATCGAATGGAACCAAGATCTTTGGGTTATAAACATGTATTTCAAGTTTCATGAAAATCGGATCAAAATTGTGACCTCTGAGTGTCCACAAGCTAAAAACTTGATTTTTCGTACAATCAGGGGCCATAATCCATGAAATTATGGTCCGATACATGTCAATATCTAAAGGAACCGAGATCTTTTAGGAACAAATTGTGGACGGACGGACGGACAGGGGCGACGACAATATACGTCCACATGAAAATGTGTGCGTATAAAAATAATGATGATAATGTTTGTATAAGAGATAATCAGATAAAATAAAATAACATACTCATTAACCCACAGCACCCTCCACCCCCCCCCCCCCCATCCAAATGTGCCAAAGATCTGTTTTTTTCTCGGATGAGCTATGTTTAATTAAAAATAAATAATTCGAGTAAGAAACCAGCCTCACAATCAATTAGGTACCCTACCCAGTGACTACACATTATATTGAACACTAGGCAGCAGTCGCAAAATGGTTTTATGTTTGAAATCTTTCAGCTGAACACTTTAATTTGTGCTCAAAATAACACTATCTCCTATATAGAAAATATCAATTCATGACATCCACTAATAAATAAAGAAACAAACATGTAAAGGAAAACATGATGATTCAGAATTTCTCAAAGACTGAATATACACCATAAACGATTAAAAAAGTATTATCAAATGAAATGAACCAAAGATTGACATAGAACATTCGAATGATAAACTTAACTACCGTAGATGTACAGATAAAAATAAAAATAAAATGGCACCTTTAATGTGCTTCATTTTCCATGTACAATAACCACTGTTCAAAATATCTAAATTAACCACTATTAGATCAATACTCTTCCTGAAGTCAAAGAGGGTTGAACATTTACAGACGGACATGAATTCAACAACGGAATGAATCCACAACTTTGGCATAATTCGAGTTAACTATTATTCATATATAAATTAAATATTTAACAGGACAGTCAGAAGATCTTCTGGAACATGTTGGTCTATGGTTCATTTATCGTTTCTTTCCAATTCATGTTTTTTCTATGGTTGTTTATGCACTGAATTTTTTTTTTTATAAGTTCTAAATTTCCATTTCTGAGTCTCTTTACTGGGGTCACATTTCTGCATGATTAGTTTGGGTCCTGTTAACATGTCTAAACACAGACCAGTATTCTTGTGTCGCATGAATCCACCCTGTAAATATAAACATGTACATTTTACTAACAAAAACTTAAAATCACCAGAACAATCCAATATAAACTTAAAGACCTTGAAACATAGTAGTCTCAGTATAGGGGTTCCCGGGATCGACCCCAGCTTTCCTTTCGTCTTTTCGAGCCTATCAGTTGTGCAGGACGAACGGAAACATCACTGTCTGAGCAAAATTTCCCTCATAGAAAATTGCACGAAGTAGGTACCATTGTGAGAGAAAGGCATTTAACAAATTAAATATAGTAATTATCAAATTGTTAACATTAATTCTAACTCTCATCACTCTCACTTTATCATATATATAACAGCATAATATACTGTTTAAATATAATGGTCGTACACAACTCTTTGGATTATTTTATTTGCAAAATAAAGTCTGATTTCTGAAATAGATATTATAGGTAAAATTAATTATATTTATGATGTGTTCGTTAAAAAAGTATTAACATTAGTGTTACTTTGCTCTTATTTTTTTTAACAAATTTTCACAAGTTGATTTCCTTTATTTTGTTAATGTAGAATGGTAATGAACTGCTCTTTTCATTTTCTTTGTTTTATTTGTTTCGTTTGAATTTGATTTATCAGTTTAGTTTTTGATTGTTTAATTTTTGTTAATGAAGTTGATTCTTTTAAACTTCGTTTTTATTTTTGAACTCTACTTGGTGTAGGTGTTCATCAGGTAATACCTCGACTGAGTTCAATATAGAGATTAGCCGGTTGATTTGTTGGATATAAACCTTTGAATAATAGCGCCTAACAGGCAGCTGTGTTTAATTATGTTCTCCTGATTTTGATTGTTTTTGTGTGTTTGAAGTATATGTTTGTGATATGCGCTTAGAAACACTTCACGTGTAATGAAGCGCTATATAAATCGAACAATAATAATAATAATAATAAAGGGAGAGTGAGAAATGGTGTTTAACGTCCACTCGATAAGGTATTAAACCGGAGGACCTAGAGAAGACCTACGGGGTTGGACAGGCTTCCCTAGTCTTCGTCAGGTACAAGCGAAGAATCACAGCCACAGAGATCTGTTGAACATTCTCAAATCTATAATTACCTTTTTATGCTGCCATTTTTCATTGGGACCTTCAATACAATCTTGTAGAAACGGTATTATATCAGACTGTTCTTGTATTACATTAACACACTGTAGAGTTGTACGTAGTCGTAAATCTTTAGTCAGTGAAAACCCCTGAAGTAAACAATTTCATTTATACGCCTGTAGAATAAATTCTAATCTGCCGCATAAAAGACTTAATTCATAATAAACTATACCGATAAATATAGAATTAGTAGTCATGACTTTGTATCATGCTCGACAAAAATTGTCAAGCTGAGTAACAAAGTAGTGAGTAGGTTGTAGCAAGGATCATAATTCAAAGCTTCTTCGTCTCATTAGAGTAAACTTCTAAAAAAAAATATAGTCCGGGAGCTAATTGGGTTTTGTTCAATATGGAAGGTGCGGAAGGCTTGGGATGCTAGTGGTGTATGGCTGGGTTGAAAACCCCAGAAACGCAATTCTTAAGTTGCTGCAGTGGTGGGTGTGGTAGAAGGAGTAACCCATAATACCCACAAAATTGGTTTATCCAACATTGTAAGAGGCAAGTGATATTTTCGTTATTTTTGAGATTATGTCATACTTTTATCTAAAACTTCATTAATTTTATATCTCATAATTTTCCTCCTAGCAGTATAAAACATGTCCATGTAGTTCTGTGTAACATACCTGGAATAGATCACCAGATAACAGGAAAAAAGTTCTGAGTAAAATCGAAAAAAATGCTAATTGGTGACCTTTGACCTCTTCTTAAGTGGCCTTTCCACCAAAAATCCCATTCTTATGTTATATTTTCGAATTCAGGCCACATTCCTCTATCAAATACCACTGAAGTTGAACTTGCACCTTCCATGTTGAATACACCAATTTTGGGGGGTACTATGGGTGACTCACCCTACCACACCCACTAGTACTGGCACAACTTAAGAATTGGGTTTCTAAGATCTCCTAACTCAGCCATACACCACTAGCATCCCAAACCTTCCGTGTTTAAACAAAACCAACCTAGCTCCCGAACTAATAGGAAGATAAACGTAATCTCTACAGTATTTACAAAAATTGTTGACGACCATCAGACACGGCAATTTTAGTATGTTCGTATAACAATTAACGATAATAGACTGGGCCAACAGCCTTAGTTTCCCAGATGGATAGCACCGTGCGAGTACCGTAAATGCAACAGACGTAGAAATGAAAAGGTGTTCAACGTCCTGCCATTCTTCATCAAATGGGCCAATGAAGACGGTACACCAGGCGATAGGGTTAGGCCTACTAATTTAACTGAGATAATAGAGACTTTTGGCAAGCGTAATTTCCTGGTCCGTATCGCGTATCCGTATGGATTTTGCTTACAGTGACGTCATCAATGTCTGTGTATTTCTCATACGTGATACGGCACACGGATACGGCAGCACGTATGGAACGGCTTTCATACGGAAATGGTCCGTATAACACTGTCGTCTTTTTACCGTCTTTTTTGCTACTATTAGACGCTGAAATGTTGCATCATAGCGTTTTTATGAATCTATGTGTATCCTAGAACACAAAGGTGTATATTTGATGTGATTTTAACAGTGATAACGACTGGAATTTAATCATTATTTTTGATGGTTTTTTCTCGGAATTTTCATATTTTTCCCGCCTGTCTGCATACTGGTTGATCTACGGGCTAAACTTTCTGGAATGATACATTAGTGAAACCAAAAATTGCTAAAATCTGCCAAAACTCTAAAACTACATTGACGCAACGTATGACGTATACGATATGGATACGGGATACGGATGGGAAAAATCCGCTTGCCAAAAGTCTCTAATGATGTGACAGGCGTAACGCGGCAGGTATAAACAGAATCATCATTTTGAAGAAATACACCGCCATTCCGCTTTAATTACCCCCTCTCCCCAAACCTAAGGGGATGTTCCCAAAAGCATTACAATCTGTTTTATATTTACCTGTGTGGGAGGACTATATATACAACCCTTAACCTCTAATGGTACAGGCGCTTGAAATAAATATTCTCCATTGTCTAAACAATGGGGTGAAGCTAGATTTTCAAGCTGTAAAATAAAATGAAAATTACTTTGGTTAGGCTGGTTGCATGATACTGATATATAGTTTATTAAAGATATTTTACCTTCAACCGAATTTGGATATCTAAACATGTATTTTCATTTGAAAGTATGGTATTTGTAAAAGTCAGGAAAAAAACAAATTGTAAACTTAAATTCCTTAACAAGTTAATTATTACCAAGACTCAATCTGGCGTTTCCCACGCATTTCTCATTCGTGCATTCACCGTTTTGCAGGTGTAATACATATACCAGATTCATGGAAGGAAGGAACGAATTGGGGCTAAACGTTCCCTTAACACAATTGGGTCTTTTAGACGGATTGATTATCGGGATTTAATTTGCCAATATACTACAAAAAAAACTGTTATTCACTGACATAAAACATGTTGATTTTAGACAAATGTATTACAGGAAAGTGCAAATGAACTGAAATTCTTCAAATAAACCCACTTGTACAAACAAGATGACGACGACTGAGTGTAATGTGTCAAAACATTTTCTAAAGGCCCCTTATCAGATAAAATAGAAGGTAGGTTTCGAAAACCTTAAAATGAGACATCTTTGCATGTAGTGGCGAAATGCTTTGCAAGGACAGTGGTTACAAAGTATCAGTTTACTGACTACAAAAACCATCTGTATGTTGCTATAACTTGTAGTTAACCATTGAAAACAAAAATACTTTTCGAATCCTCACAGATTCCGCGATTTAATAAAGCCTTTCAGATCCCGTGACTTAAGAACCCTCTCATATCAACTGATTTAAGCATCCTCTCATATGCCGTGATTTAAAGGACAATATTAGTGCCAATCATTATCACATATGTGATAGAGCTGGTTAAACACATTCCAAATATAATTTTAACACAGAGATCTTTGCCACGACAGCTGAGTAATACAGGTTTCCTGAGTCGGAAGTGATGAACGCCAAAGGAAAACACGAGTATCTCTCTATATAACTGACTGATGTGACGAGTGATAACGGATATACGGCCGAATTTCTGCTCACTAATAATTCCCTCGAAGACCCAAAGTTGATATATGGGACTGTAAGAGGATACCTGACAATTCAATAAAGTAATTGAATGTCATTAGATAAGAGAACACGAGAAAAATAGAAATAGTCCGTACATTCCCTTGTTTATATTCATTCTATATCTTATAAAAACATGTAAATGCACGGATTTTTTCTGTTTTTCTTTCGTGTTCACTTATCTAGTGGCAGTCAATTCTTTTTATGAATTGTCAGATATCCTATCACAATCTCATACAACAACTTTTGGTCTTCGAATGAATTATTAGTGAGCAGAAATTCGCCCGTATATCCGTTATCACTCGTCACATCAGTCAGTTATATAAAGAGATGACTCGTGTTTTCCTTTGGCGTTCGTCACTTCCGATTCTGGAAAACTGTATTACTCAGCTATCGTAGCAATGATCTCTGTGTTAAAATTATATTTGGAATGTGTTTAACCAGCTCTATCACATATGTGATAATGACTGGCACCAATATTGTCCTTTAAGAACCCTCTCATAACCCCTCACAGATCCCGTGATTTAATAAATGAAATGGGGTTTAACGTCCTACTGTTCTGCTACTAAACTGGGCTAATGAAGACGGGCATACGCCATACAGTGTGCTATGAGGGAAATTTTGCCTACGGCCTACTCTTATATCGAATTCCAACTGCCAAAGGATCTTTTACGTACACGCCAATATGTACACGGGGCCTTGGTTTTTCGTCCCATCCGAACGACTAGACAGCTGTCCTTGTCAGGCCCTCCGCCCTGCATCACTGACAAGGGGAAACCACGCCGGAAAATCTGGATGAACTTTCTCGGCCAATGCAGGGATCGAACACCCGACCTGCAGGCTAGCGAGCCAGCAGCGTCTTACCCACTTAGCCACGTGATCCCCCGTGATTTAATAACGCTTTCAGAACCTGTGATTTAAAAACCCTCTCATATCCCGTGATTTAAGAACCCTCTCATATCCCGTGACTCAAGATTATAATAACCATCTCAGATCCAGTGATGTGAATCATAAACCGAAAATAATTTAAGTGCATCAGCCAGGCACGGGTTGCAATGGATAGTGCTTGAGTTGTATTGGTCTGCCGGGTATACTGAATAATTTTGATAAATCAATTTCAGACACAGAGAGAGAAACACAGAGAGAAAAGGTGTAACCGGTAAATTCAATATGATGCTAAGCTATTTATTTTTACTCACCCCGCCATACGCCACCACATTTTCTTCATAGGGGAATAATTCTGGCCAGACATTTTCTAAATACCAGTCAAACGAACGACATTTTAAACGTTCTTTTATCTTAAACCTTTCACTCAAATCACCAACACTAATATCCTATAAACACAACATGGTCATTATTATAATGAAAACAAATGCCAATAATAATATATTATGGTATTACCTTGGTCAACATAATGTCAACATAACCACTTGGTAAACAGAGTAAACTATAATACATTACAATAATTTAGATCTTTTATTCCTTATACATACGCTGATAAAACTGCAAACATCTCAGTTAACTACCAGCCCCACTTTAAAACATGGATTAAGGCTTCTTAATAAGCCCATCAGAAGTCCTCCGCGCTATCCCCACAATCGTTGTCAACAAATCCAGCAGCACAATCCAATATGAATCCATCATGTGCCAAACACGAAAAGCAAAATATGATGAAAAAGGTAACACAAAGTGCATTCAAGTTTTATGACCCAACACTTTTGAAATTCAAAATGGTTCTTGTGTATGCCCCAATGACCAATCTCACAATTTTTTAATAAATAATATCGAGAAGAGCTTTGCCCTGCATATGGGATTTTAAAAATAAGGAGTGTGGATAAGTCTGCGATCTGCGATCAAAAAAAAATGAATTCCGATGGGGTTTCCTTCTTAGGCTGCAGTGGCCACTACACAATCAAATCTGTATAGTTATATATGTAATACAATTTCATTAGGCCTACACCGAAACGGGTAAATCCAACAAAACGTGCTCTCTGAGAGAAGCGTATTACAGCTGAGTTATTCTCGGATTGGAATTCCCCATTTCCATACCAAATAATTTGCTAAAACTATTAAAATTCTCTACTTACCTTCATATCGGGATAATAATCATACACATATTTACTATAGTTTCCCATCCATACATCAACAGCTCTCTTATAATTATGTATTTCTGTTTGGTGTCGTCCTTCTGGGAAGATGTACGGCTGCACACGAGCTATATGTCCTATCTTAGAACAAGGTAAATGTAACAGTCTACCTCCGCACATCCACACCTTAAATACAAAAATAGTATTCACTGTAAAATATGAAAAATATATTTATTGCAAACAACATTATATCTTAGTAGATACTCCATGGGGACGTTATTGACAATCGACACTTTTAATTATGTACTGCACTGCATGGACGGTGAATAGACAATCACCGGAGTTCAACAGTTTTGAGTTTGAATGCACGTAGAGATAGCAACGTCAGGCTCAGATGTTGGCTCTCTGTAATAATTAACATGTTCAATTTATAAGGCAATTTGAGTCTATTATGTTGATGGTTATAATTCATCAATATACAAACAGTTTATTTAAAGGAGTTAGATATAATAAAGACTTACTCTCCATGCTAATTCTATATTTTCACCTCCCCAAATCTTCATACCACCATCATATTTACCAATGTGTTTAAAATATGTTGTATTGATTGCAAATGCTGGTCCCACCATTACAACACCTCTAAAATAATGACAGCAAAACACATTAAAGATATGTTGCCAGGCAACGAAACATACGCCCACAGCAGCTAAATCGTCGGGGCATTCAACAAGAGTTGTCGCATATTTTAACTTTTTTCAGTAATGAAACATTTATAATACACTAAAATATGATTAAGAGTAACAACTCATTAAGTAATTATCAGAAAATCATTAGAATTTGTTTGGATTTTATAAAGTTCTGCCCCATGCTAACGTTTAGCATATGTTACAATCCGATATTCGCAAATATCGAGAACGAAACCAACATTTTTGGGTTATAAACATACATTTAAAGTTACATCAAAATCAGATGAAAATTGTGACCTCTAGAATGTCCACAAGCTAAAAACGTGATTTTTCGTACAATCAGGGGGTCATAATCCATGAAGTTTCAATCCGATACATGCCAATACCGAAAGGAACCGAGATCTTTTGGAGATAAACCTATATTTCAAATTTCGTCAAAATCGGATAAGAATTGTGAACTGTACAGTATCCAGAAACAAATTGTGGACGGACGGACGGACGGACGGCTAGGGGCGATGATAATATACGTCCACATGAAAATGTGGGCGTATAAAAGCGATTAATTTTAAATATAATTGTGGACGGACGGACGTACGGGCGGACAGGGGCGACGACAATATACGTCCACATGAAAATGTGGGCGTTTAAAAACGATTTATTTTAAATATAAATTGCTAATAAATGGTGGAGATACCATATCGCCTACTGCGTTGACAGGTACATTGATTTTTGCGGCTTTTGAAGAGTGCTTTCCATATTAATTCGGTTATTCGAAACGTAGATAAATTTTACTTACAAATATTATGTCGGAAATTAAAAAAAAACGACATTTTAGAACAAAAATGCTGACGCGCATAATTAACTAAAGAAATACTCGTTTACGTTTACCAATATGTTTAGTCAACTTGTGTATCTATTATCTAAAATAACTTACGGTAGAGGGTCAACAGGCGTTCGACCATTTCTTTGATCTGATCTAAAGTATGTTTCAAAAAACACTAAACGCCAATCAAAGCCATATCTAGTTTTATAACCAGGTTCGAAGTCATACTGTAGAGTGTCGGCTTTAATATAATCTAGATGCCCCATAGCTAACGTACTCCAGTTCTTCTTTATTTCCACTAATAATGGTTCCAACCTATAATAATTGATATTAGAAAAGAATCAAGCATAGTGAATGGAACTATATATATTATGTATATATTAGTGAATGGAACTGGCCAATTTTTTGTGATGACCTACTGGAAACCCCTACCCTAGTTCACCATCATAAAAGGTTCAAGACAGATATTAATGGCAAGAAAAGGAACAACCATTAAGAGGACAATACGAAAGATAGATTTCAAATCAGACAATGCAGAGTTTTGGCGGTTTAACAATCTTGATTCTCGATAGTCTTGGGGTTCCAGCGAACGGATACGAGTGGCGACATGACACGAACATGCCGAAATGTGTTAAATTCCAAAAATACTGGGGTAATATATTAATTTAGCTTCTACAGTATAAGATGATTTCTGGCATCAACAAATATATTATGTTGGCGACAATATTTGTCTTCTCCTGTAGTAGAAATAGGGCGATTCAGTTTTATCTGTATGATAGACAGTAGAAAGTGTGGGCATTGTATAATTATTATAGCTCTGATTTTTCACTGATAATTATTACAGTGATCGCAGCCGAGATGGATACAAATCGATGTTTATAGCCATCAATATTGTATTAAGAATTCTATTTCTGACGTCTGCCAATCAAGTACGACAATGTGTATATGGATTAGCTTAAAGTGAATTTTGCTAGCAGGTGTGTCATTTTTTTCCCAAGAAAATAGAAATATTTCAAATGCACGGCCGGTCATTTAACGCCCTACCAAAATTATAAACTAAAGGAAACAGATTTCACGAAATTAAGTTTCAGAAATGCATGTAAATGTACCGCGATAACTGATAATAAAGGACACTAAGACATACTGTATTTCTATATTTTTGGATGTTCATAGAATAAGTGCAAAACTATAGTTAAGTATCCATTTTTGAAATGATAACTTGTTCTGCAATCTAATTAAAAGTAAGCTTATATACTTATTTCGTTTTATTCTGATTTGATACAATGCACAAGATTGAGTGCGAATGGTGTTCGTACGGTTGTCGTCAGCTGCAACAGGCATGTGACATTAGCTAGTTTATACATAGACTAATACAGTGAAACCCATTTTAACGTATTGCAGTTTGATTGGCTGTTTACAACACACACTATAGATACAAATGAAATGAGGTTTAACATCCTACTGTTCTGTTTCGACTGGCCTAATGAAGACGGCAAAACAACATATATACACTCATAGATACACTGCTAAAATTTGTCGGTTGTTAAAATTGAGTCCAGTAAAATATCTAATACGGAATATAAAATGATTGAAAACAAATTGAAAAACATCTTTGTAGCGATGAAATTAATTTCCTCGTGACAGTAGTATTGCCTCTTTAAATGCGTTGATCTACATTATACGTAACTAGGATTTTCCGTCTGTTTGTCTGGAGCCCTGATTATAGCTACTCTTTATACAACTACTGTACAGTTAAAGCGCAAAATAGTGACACTTAATTTTCAGCTTAAAGTAGCTAAGTCTCTAACTCAATATCATCCAACGTCATCGACATTGAAAACACAAATTAACTGACAATTTAAATCAACATTGATGTTGTGGTCTTACCGGGAAATGGGCTTCTGATATTTAATATTTAAGACAAAATAAACGTTTCAGCGCCATTAATAACAAGAACCTCGAAGATCGACATATTCTTATCTGGATAGCATGTGTAATAAATACTATCGGTGTAGACAGGAATAACCAGACGCTAGAGATTGCCATTCGATTGAGACTTCTGTCGTATTTCGCCGAACACAACTGATTTGAAATTAGAGTAAAAACGGAAACGATTAAATCTAAATCAGTTTATAAACATTCATATTACATTATTATATGCGTTGCGACCCATTTGTGTCAATTTCTAGGTCCGAAATATTAGCGATTTAGCTTCTTTAATATCGTGCCTTTTACGTTAACCATACCACATTTTCTCCTGCCACTTTTTTTAACCCCTTGTATACCGTTTGTAATTATTTATACATTTTTTACTACCATATCACGCGTATACTTCATTTTTTACCCACTATATAAGTCATCTGTAAATTACTAAAAAGACATTTCTCAAAAGAGATGTGCTGCTGCCCATTAGCTTCTTTATTTGTATCAAATTAGAAATAAATCTTTTGAAGTTACTATGGTCACTGTCTAGAAACAGACGTCAGACCGTATTTCACCAATCATTAGGATGTCGGGAATTTCTAATGGTGCCAATATTTTCAAATTTAAAGATAAAAGCAGTTCATAAAAGTTGTCGAATATGTATTTAATCAGAGCCATCACAAGATTATACAAAATAGACAAGGGCCATAACTCAACATATAATTAACAGAAATTGTTGAAATTCGTTAGGCGTCTTCACTTTGATGCACCGATTGTTTACAATGTATTGAATGACAGGATTGTAACAAGCGCTTGGCGTTGCAAGATACACCCACAATTTGGAAGAGATGGACAGAGCACAAGCTAAAAAACGAGATCTTTGGGATATAAACTATCAGATAAAAATTTTGATCTCTGGAGGATCCACAACCTAGGTAGTGCATGCCTTTACACTATTTGCGTAAAGGGGAGCGGCCATTTTGACGGGAAGTTTCGGTCCGATTTTCACTAAATTCGAATTTCAGATTTAGCACTGTGTCCCTTTAATATGGTTATACCAATATGAAACATACAGCACGAATAAGATGAACATAAGTAAATATACAAACCACTGAACATTAACTTCCATATGGCTGTCAAAAAATGACACGACTTCGGTTGTAACATGTTCAAATCCCACCAGACGGGCTTTGATTAACCCAACTCGTTCTTTTAATCGTATTAATTTAACTAAATTTCCAGGGAAGTGGTCTTTTATATATACATCTAAATTTTCTTTCAGTGAATCTACAAAGACATGAATTGGATAAAGGTAAAATCCATAATGCATTTTATTTTAAATTGTACAGTAACTAAAATATGGATATCCGACAGGAACGGAATGGACTTTTCAACACAACAATTTGGCCATTGTAACATTAATAAGGATTTTGTTTTTATTTAATATAGTCAAGGGTTCGCTTACATGCACGCCAAAGTGTACACGGTTTAGACGACTAATTACACATCCCCTATGAGTCCTGTCAGTGTTATACATGTGAAATCTTGGCCAAATCTGAGAAATTGTCTAGAATTAATAAAGAATAATTGGATATCGGACTAATGCGCGGTCGTTTGACTCCCTTTAATAGGTTATCAGTTTAAACATACACTATGAAAGAGCTAAATCTGCCTATTGCAGGTCTTTCTTTAGGCCTGAACTGTTAAATAAACTATTAATTAGACATTTATCAACAAAACAAGACCATAATCGACTCTCGATGGCATCGGATACTCGAGATTTTAACTAGATTAAAACGGTTCGCCATTTAAAAATTTAATTTAAAAATGGGAAAGCGAGGCTGAGTCCCGATTATACCAGTGCCCTGGTTACCACTGTGCACACATCTTGTCAAAACTACAAACAATGATAACTTGGCTGAGAATGAAGTAATTTGAATGAAATTTTCAATATTTTCTTTTTTTATCATCTATTTTTGAATAATTATAGCAAGAATGACCAACTCTTTATTAAACACTTAACTAATGTATCTTTAATGGTGTTATTTCCAAAATTAGCAATTATAGAGAAAAAATGAAAATATTTACCTAAATCACTGGCATCATCTACCAATATTATTTGTTTTAAGATATATTTTGGCGTTCTATTGATTAAACTATACACAGTACGTAACAAAATGGACGGCCATTCATTATGGAAGGGAATAACAACACCAGTTGTTGGTAGGTCGTCAGGATAAACTACCGAACTACATCTGAAAATAGATTAAAAGATAGGTTGCCAGGCAACGAAACATACGCCCACAGCAGCTAAATCGTCCGGGTGTCGACAAGGGTTGTCGCATATTTATTGGGGGCATTTACGAGACAATTTCATACGGATCAGATTATAATTTTTGTCGTTTGAGGGTTCACAAGGTTCTACAAATTGAAACAAGGGCCTTAACTCTGGAAGTAATTTGCAGAAAATTTTGAAATTTGACAGGCTTTTTCGTTTTACTAATTTGTCGCCTGTCCAACCTCGTGGGTTTTCTCTGGGTGCTCCGGTTTCCTGTCACTGCTAAAGACCCCTACGCGCAAGCGAATTATTGAAATAAAATTAAACCATATGTTAGCCCCGAAATGACCTAGTTTGTGTCGAGTGGACGTTAAACCCCCAGCTTTCTCTCTCTCTCTCTCTTTCTCTCTCTCTCTCTCTCTTTAAATAATGCATATACATTTTATACAGATCGAATGATAACTTTGGTCATTTGAACGTTCACAAAGTAAAACAAGGGCCATACGTCTAGAAATAAATGACGGAAATCGTTGAAATTCAATAGACCTCCGTTTCACAAATTTAAATGATGCTTAATAAATTTCATACATATCGGATGATAACTTTCATCAGTCGAGCATTAACAAGGCTGAACAAAGTGAAACAAGGGCCATACCTCTAGAAGTAATTATTATAAATTGTTGAAATTCAATAGGATTCGTGGTTTCACTAATCTAAATGATGCATATAAATTTCATACAGATAGGATGATAAATTTTGGCGTTAGAGCGTTCACAAGGTTCAACAAAGTGAAACAAGGGCCATAACTCTAGACGTTATAAACAGAAATAATTGCTGAAATTCAATAGGCTTCTTCGTTTCACTAATTTAAATAATGCATTTAAATTTCAAAAAGATTGAATAACTTTTGGCGTTAGAGCGTTCACAAGGTTTAATCAAGTGAAACAAGGGCCATAACTCTACACATAATGAACGGAAATTGCTGAAATTCAATAATCTTTTGTTTCTAAATAATGCATATAAATTTCACAAAGATCGGATAACTTTTGGCGTTAGAGAGTTCACAAGGTTCAACAAAGTGAAACAAGGGTCATAACTCTAGAAGTAATTAACAGAAATTATTGAAATTAAATAGGATTCTTCATCTCACTAATGTAAACAACATATTATATCAATTTTAAAATAATCGGATGATAAATGTAGTCTGTATAGTTTTCACAAGAAAATGTGGACGACGGACGGGCGCGACGGCAATATACGATCACATCTGAGCGTTCACGAGAAATTGTGGACGGCGGACGGTCGGATGGACGGGGGCGACGGCAATATACGTCCACATTCTGAGAATTAATTACCGGTAAAAACTATACTCCGATTTCAATCATTAATTTAACATAACCTACACTAATTACGACTATAAAACTTGGAATTTCTGTATCATTGGTTTTGATTGGTAAACTTATCCGGAATCGGGGCATTAGTGAAAGCACCGTTAAAGAAATATCTTGGGATCAAGATTAGGTGTAGTAAACAACCGAATAAAATGAAACAAAATGTTGCTATAAATTTAATTAGACTGAAATGTTTAGGAAATATGTACTTGGAGTTTTATATCTTCTGATTAGAATATTGGTGTCCACATGATACGTAAACATGCCCGTAGAGATAAAATGCAACTCAACATTGCTTCAGAACTGTCCATATACTGGTAATAAGAAAAATGTCCCCGCAACAGTACAGTAAACCCATAATTTTTTAAGCAGATTCATACATCTATTTGTATACCGATGGGCTAAATAAATAAAGATGAACTTAATTCGATCGATCACCAGACTATATACAAATAAATACCTTTCATGATGAAATGAAATGAAATGAAATGGGGTTTAACGTCCTACTGTTCTGCTCCTAAACTGGGCTAATGAAGACGGGCATACGCCATACAGTGTGCTATGAGGGAAATTTTGCCCTGGCAGCGGCACAACGGCCTACTCTTATATCGAATTCCAACTGCCAAGGGATCTTTTACGTGCACGCCAATGTGTATACGGGACCTCGGTTTTTCGTCCCATCCGAACGACTAGACAGTTGTCTTTGTCAGGCCCTCCGTCCTGCATCACTGACAAGGGGGAACCACGCCGGAAAATCTGGATGAACTTTCTCGGCCAATGCAGTGATCGAACACCAGACCTCCAGGCTAGCGAGCCAGCGTCTTACCCACTTAGCCACGTGATCCCCTCTTTCATGATGAACACTATACGCGGACTACAAGCAAAACGACACGAGTTCTAGAGAGTTACAGATAGAAGACGCCAACATCACTGGTGTCACTGAATTATCATGAATAAAGGTTAGGAGGGCGTAAAGAATAATAAATGGCATGGATGCACACCCAGTGTTTTAATCAATAGAAGGAATAGAAAACTCTTGTTAAAAACTATTAGTAGCTTCCAATATCAACATAGACACTGTAAATGTGTGAAATTGCTGCACGCAGCTGAACGAGTTGGCCTCCCTCTTCCGAACGGCCAGAATGTTTTTTTTTAGACTCGACGCCGCTTGTCACATTTAATCACACAATTACTGAAATTGGTCAACACAGTAAAACAAATTTGCGGAAAGGTCAACTCTTTTGAAGAACAGTATGTAGCGATTATTACCAGGGGTGTGTTCACGAAATTGAGCAGCCAAGTTCAGGCGCGGATTTAAGTGCGTGGGGTGGGGGGGGGGGCACCACCTCCTCATGAGACCAAGTAAGCGCTCCTATCAAAATTAATAACGATCATGATATGACATGAACTTTATGTCAACTTGAATAAAACTGCTTTACGGCGAGATAACGATCGGCGAACAACTATATAGGCAATACGATCTATGTTCTACCGGGGCCTTCAGCGTTATTGACAGTCTCAGTAATGGGGTGGGGTTGTAGATGGCTCCCTAGATTAATTTTGGAACTATCCCCGCCCTCCCTAGCCTCTATTCACAGCTTCTAGACCCGCTACTGGCTAAGGTGTGAGGTTTAGGGGATTACCCGAGAATTTTATAAAATCAGAAGCTGTGGCAATATTTCTGCCCATAGGCCAAAACGGCGGCAATGCTTCGCACGTATGTTCGTTCGACGTTATTACGATCAATGCCGGAGAAGAAATAAGCGCGAGAAGGGGGATGTCCAGACCCCCGCCTCCCCCCACCCTAGACAGAACCCCAATGCATTCAAATTATTAATTCACCTAACTTACAAGCAAATATATAGCGGAACAATGAAAATATGGGGACCCAGTGTTGTGACCTATTCCCAATCGGTGTCTGTATTCATCAATATGATTACAGATCGGGTCCATAACAGTAACCAACCAAGTATACCTTGGGGTATTCCAGATATTCTAAGTGCTGTCAATTTAAAGAATAAAACACCATATTTCACACACATCCTGAATTAGCCAATAAAACCCCGGTGGCGTTTTTATAATATAACAGTCAGAGAACGGTTTATTTACTTGGCAATTTTACACGTAGTATATTGACGGAATTCCAAATAAATATAAGCCGGAATGTAAATGTTAAAATACGTTATAGCTTTCTATGGGTGTATATAATGTTTGGAATCAAAGGGTGCTCGCCATAACCAGCTGTGTGTTATTAGATCCAGACAGTCGGTTTATATAATAGTTACGTCTGACACGTTAAGCAACTACACAATACATGTAAATATTATAATGTTTTAAAGTATTTTTATGTCTTAAGTTTTCGTCCATAATTAATTGCGATCGCGCAATTGGGTTCATGACATCTTTGCGCAGTCACATTGGGGTGCCCGATTGTCAGTTACGGAATTCAGCTGTGTTATATTTCTGCCAGTCCGAAAAATGGGTTGCTAGGCAACGAAGCATACGCCCACAGCAGCTAAGTCGTCCGATAGTAACTTTCGCCTCTAGAGTGTCCACAAAATTTTCCAAAGTGATCAAGGGCAATAACTCCGGCACAGTGTATAAATTTAAAGTCAATCGGATATTAACTTTAGCCTCTAGATTGTGGACGCCGGGCGGACGGGGGTGACGATAATAATACGACCACATTTCAATGTGGGCTTATAAAATATATATGTGGTGTGAACAGAATCGTGTCGAAATCAAACATTCCAGTTAGCGCATGCATTAGTGCGTTTATTTGACTGTCACCTTTCGACAATTGGAAGTTCAATCGAGAACCCTCAGTAATTTCGTTCCAGACTTCTACTATCTCGTGAATGTTTCAATCAGGGACAACTACAGCCACTGTTCATTTAATTTATTGAGCATTATCTGTTCTTGAAATAGAAAGTTCCGTGTGTGAGTTATTTGTGTTTTACGTCCGCTTCCACCGAGGTGATATCGCAGACAAAGGAAGTTCCGATGAAAACTGCTGATTTAAATTAAACCCTTGACGAAAACTGGGTTGTGGTCGAAAATTTCGCATTGTCTCCAATTAGAAGAGCAAATAGTTTTTCCACAACTTAAAATAGTTGTTTGGCAGGATAGCGAAATACAGTTTAATTTGAACATGTACCATGTAACTGTATACGGTCAAATCACGTCAAATCAAATTTTATTTTACCAACTGAACAAAATCGCCAAAAAAAAAACCAACAACATATTACGGTACGTTAGTCCGAACTAATTGATCCGTTTCTACTGACTGTTTATTTCCGAGACTTGTTTATAATGCAATTGCATCAATCAATATACCTAATCAGAGATCTTATCAAAATCTTATTGAAGGAGAACATGAAGACTTGCCTTTAGTTTTGTCTGTTTTTCTACCGTATACACGCATCACAATCGCAATATATATTTAACCTGTTCCAATTGTTAATGACCAGAAGCTAGTGTTTGAATGGCATGATCCACGATCTGAGTGTGCGATATTACAAACATGACTCACATCATTATACCATATAACGTTCTGTCAGTTCAGTTTTCAACCGCGTCCATAGTA